TCCTGTGCACACAACAAACCATTTCAAAACCATTGACCTATAATGCTTTGCACACAAATTCCAGACAGACATCCTTACCAAAGCAAAAATGGGCAGTAGATACTCACATACCCAGGAGTAAGGCGGTGCTTCTAGAATTAGTCTGAAATTACAGTTTTATGAAAACTGAAGATGATATGGCAGCCACCCTCCACTAGACACTTATGATGTGCCAAGTCTTGTTCTAAGCAATGTTCATGATTTAGTCATGTTCAGTTCCAACAATTAGTAGAAGGTTTATTTCTCCTGACTTACTGAGAAGGACACTGGAAACTCAGGAGCTGTTGTAAGTAATGGTGCTGGTAAAGGCAGAGAAAACTCTTTATTCAACTTCTCAAAACAATATATATCAACCAATTCCACTTGATGAAAAGTAAAAGCACTGCAGATCTCAGCTTAAGCTTTAATCCTGTTAAATTAACTATGAAAACCCAGATGACATTGCCGGCCTGTGACTTAGTTTACTTGTCTATAAAATGGGAAGAGTAATAATGGTGTGGTAAGATGCCAATATATGAAAGTCTTTCTTAAAAAACATAAATAGTTTTCATTATGATAGATCTGTAATCATGGCTCATATGGGCCTGACCCAAGCTTTATCTGTGAAGTTATAAAACAAGTGTGTTATTATTCAGTAGCTCACAGAATCACAGGCAACTGGTTCTCACACCAAGAAATAAGGTGGCAGAATGAGCACAGTACAAATTAAGCCCTGTCTCCCGCCACTGTTTTCTTTGTGTGCCTCATCATCTGACCACCACTGTTAAATGTGAGTACCTCGACATCTTCCTTCCCACTTCATATATGCCCAGTATCTTGATAATATGGAGTGTGTTTAGATCAAGCAGATTTCTGTGAGTTTCCAGTATTTCTAATTCCATCAAGAAATTAAGTGCCAAGTGCTCTAAGAGAGAAGATCTTGGGACAAGTGTATGGGTGAACAGATGGCTTTATCCTCTGCATGTCAGTGAACTGTCATTCAGGAAGAGAGGAAAGAGGTGTGAAAATGATGTTCCAAAGCCAGGCACACAACTCAGACAGTAAAATCATTTCCACATTGAACTTGCCTCCCCAACCACACAATACTGCCTATTTCAGGACCTGAAACATTCTTATATAACAAATTGTGATGTAATGAGAGATCTATTTCTCAGTAAACATAATGATTATTTAATTGTACTGAAACAGGCTTATAAGTATATTGTGTGTATTAACTCTATCAGGTAACTATTACACCTCACATTATAAATAAGGAAAATAAAGCAAAGAAGTATTGAAAAGATGACTGAATATTGCTAAAAAAGGAAATAGCAGAGCTGTGAATCAGATCCTCGTGGTCTATGTGTTTGCTCTTTCCCATGTGCCTACTGCCTTTGAAATGGTGCTTGGCCAGAGTTTTGGTAATGGTTATTGAATGGCGTGAGCTTCTCTATCAATTCTCATCTGGTTGTACATGCAAAATTACAGCCACTGTCTTTTCTTTATCTAGAAACAGAGAAATAGGTAAAAAGCTGGATCATCAGCCATTGTACCCCTGTTTTCTTCCATACCAATTTATTTCCTGTGTTTCCAATGTCAGCTTCTATATTTCTGCCACGTGTTGGTGCAGAGCCAACCGAGACATTTGGGTGAGGCCAAAGTGCCAGAAGATCATGAGTGGCTATAACCTATCCACTCATCCTACCTCTTTCTACTCCATTTATATATTCACCACACCATACGCGTTGGCTTGCACTGTGGTGCCCACAGCTTTTTGTCTTTCTTCCTTGCTGTGAGTAAAGAGCTAAGGCTGCCATGGCCTGATATGAATTGTACAGGGAAGAATCTAGAAATAGCTCTAGGAGATGTCTGTATAAGCAGATGTTCACAGGAGACAGAAGGACACCATGATGAAATAGGTGGGTCAAGTATGATAAAAAAAGGTTCTCCACACACTTGATTCTTGTGGCTACATCCCTACTTTTGACAGATGAACATTCCTGAGCTCCCACTGTGAAGAAAAAAGGGAAGTTAAACGTAATTGAAAAGATTAGTACTACATCTCAATGTCTGGACCCCTGTTACAGACACATATTTTCTAGATTTAAAAAATTTCCAGAAAGCTAGTATTGTATAGTTATTTTCTTAATTTAAACATGAACTAACTTAGAGTTCTACCAAGCCAATATTTAGTTTAGCAACCTACTCCAAGCATGCCTCTTTCACGATCAGCTAGACAAATTTGTATTTTAAGTTGCTAACTAGTACAACATGATCAACAAAATTTGTTCATGGGAGGATATCTAATGAGAAAGCAAGCCAGGCATCCTGGCAGGTAAAACATTACTTGGTGTGTTCAATATCAGTCTTCTCATATGCTAAATGCTCACATCCATTTGTGATAAAACTGAATATGGTAATCTCTCTAAGAATTCCTATTTTCCAATTTACAGGTTTCAATATTATTTTTATATTACTTTGTATATATGTATAAATACTACTATGTAAGGTAAACTCTAAATCTGTAAATATCCTCACATGGAATTATGATAATTAATTTGACAAAGAAACATTATATTATTTCAAATAAAATAACTGAAGGCTATAATTCTTGGCTTGTTTTAGAGTTCTGCAATCATTTCATTCCCTACTGTGTAAAAGTACACCATCAACAATTTGAAAAAAATTATTTGTTATTAAAGCATACCATAATAGAAACACAGTTCTGTACAGTGTCTAAATTATTCCCTTTTATATGCAAACTAATAAAATCAAAATGTTATTAATGTGTTTTGATGAGAAATAGCATATCAATTTGGAAACATAAAACCCAAGGTAAGTTGTCTTGATGGGATCATAGATAGATAGATAGATAGATTGAAAGTTATCTATATTCAATTTTAATGTTGTTAAAATAGTGCATTTTATGTTCTTATCATAATTATATTATGTAAAGAAATTATCTTCTGTGAGTCCTATATACCAAGTACCCAAAGTTCCTCCAGTTTGTCTCAGTGTACCACATGGATATTATTTTCTAGGTTTATAAACCCAATAAATGTTGCCTCTAATATATATTCTATTCCACAACATCTTCTGCTTTAGTTATGGACTCAACATTCAGTTGTTATTACTCATGGACTCATGGCACACTTTTAAGTCTAAATAATGACTGGGAAATATTAAAGTAAGCTATTTCATTGTCATTCCTTTTTATTTGTAAACAAAATGTCCTGTTTTGTTACCCAGGCTGGATTGAAGCAATCCCCCTAGCTCAATATTCTTAATGCTTTCTAAAAACTTAGTATTTTCTGAATAATATCATATTGGGTCTGGAAATGTTCTTTTTGTTCAGTTTGCAATGATTTTTGTGCAAATTGTGTGTTATGTCAGGGTGCATATTTAATTTTACAGTAGCATAAGTTTCTAAGGCCAAACAGATGCAGTAATCTGTAGGAGCCTAGTCTTTCTTTCATTCTAATCTTGCTCTTGTTACTTTCCCAAACATCTAATAAGCTATTAACTGAATCACAGAAGCAGGAGGATCACTGGGGTTGCTGACTGCCAGCCTAGCTCTTTCTTTAACACACACGCATACACACACACACACACACACACACACACACACACACACCTAAGGAGGTTGAAGAATCTTTTTCAGAAGAAATACTCTCTCACTTTCTTTTCCTTGCACTTTTAATTTTGGACAGAGTCCAAAGCATTCCGGCGACCAAGATGCACAAAATGACCATCATGAACCTCATCTCACTCCCACTTAGGCCAGTTTCCCAAGACCCAGGTCAAAGAGGAAGCAGCTGAGAGTTGGCCCAGGGAGGCAAAGCAGAGACTGTTGCTGCTCAGATGGAGCTCTTCTCCAGAAGCGCTGTCGCTGTCCAGACCTCGGTGCTGAATGCTAAAAGCTGGCCTTGCTGTGGTCAGTTCAATCCCAGAAGGAACCCCGATGGATTCTGACAAGGAAGTCACAATGGTATCTCAAGGGTAGGCGTGGGGACTTCTCTTATTCTCTCCCTAAGGAAAACTTGTCTTTCACAAAGATACATGGTGTATTTAATGTGAGAATAGTGGCACAGTTTCTGGTCAGCTCCCAAACTGAAATCTCCAGTGAGGGAAAAACAGAAAAGTTCTGGGGTAATGAAACTCACTCCTACCTTTCCTGAGTCAATACAAAAACCTTTGGGACAGTGCACCTCCTTATTGAAAATTTAAAACATTTTTGTATTTTGAAAACTCATGTTGCTAATTAATCTCGCTTTGTGGTGTGTGTGTGTGTGTGTGTGTGTGTGTGTGTGTGTGTGTGTGTGCTGATGTAAATACTACAATGATGGTGGCGCTGGGTTCCCAAAGTCTGGGGTAGACTTTTAGATATCACTTTAGCTGGGCTCAGAAACAAGAGAGAAGGAGCTACAAGTAATTTAAAAAACACTTTGAAAACGTTGTTTCAATACCGTCTTAAGGAAGCACTCGTTTTCTTAGGTGATTTGGGGTAGAAAGAAAGTAGCAGGTAGCTTCCCTCCTCTGCTCTTAGACTACCGGATTTGAAAGATCTCAGCAGGAGTCCTGGGTTTTGTCTGTTTTATAGCAAATGCTCAAACTCAAGAGCCATTAGAATCCTATTTTCACTCACCCCACCCCCCATCCCCGGGCACATTCATAGGAGACAATAAAGTAACACAGAGAAAATAGGTGGGGGGGGGGTGCGCTTCCTGCCTTGGGATCTTGGCAGTTGTATTCAAATAGGGCGCTTCTCTTTGAAGAATGGAGCTGTTTCTGGTAGCTACAGTATTTATGGGCAGACCCCACAGAATGGACTGATCCCATTAAACAGTCCTTTCCTTTCCTTAATCCTTCCCTGCTTGTTTTAGTCATTTCTCCACCCCGCCGGGAATACCATCCACTTCTCAGTCCAGGTAGATCTGACGTCAAGAGATGGCTTTCGTAGATTTGACGTGTAAACACTCATTTCTATTCTGGCTGGGGAGGCTGGCGCTCCGCTCTGCCAGGAGACTAAAGCGCTTCAGTGGGCGCTTGCCACCGCCCAGCCTCTCCCAGCGCGACTCCTAGCTTTTGCGGAGCAACCCGAGCCAGGAGTGGTTCAGAGAGACAGGGTGGAAAGGTCGAGTCTAGCTGGTGTTTCTCTTGTCTCGCTTTTCTCTCATCCCTTCTTGCTTGTGTGAGAACAAGGGTGGGAGCCATGGAGCAAAGAGGCTGGTCTCTGCAGTGCACGGCTTTCGCCCTCTTTTGCGCTTGGTGTGCTCTGAACGGTGTAAAAGCCAAGAGGCAGTTTGTCAATGAATGGGCGGCGGAGATCCCCGGAGGGCCGGAGGCTGCCTCTGCCATCGCCGAGGAGCTGGGTTATGACCTCTTGGGTCAGGTAAGAGTTTTCACTTTCGAGAAACTTTCTAGATCTTGAGGGCACTGGAGGGGCTGGAGTAGTCTCCCGAGTGGGAGTCACAGACTGCACTCCCCTGCTCTCAGTGTCACAAGCAGCGAGGAGCATCCCCCTTTGCCCCTGCGCCCCCTGCTCTCTTTCAGAGGGAAAATGCTTACATTATTTATTGTTTGGGCTGGGCGCCGCCAACCAAAGGAAGCTGCCGCAGCAGACCCTGATCTCTCTGTTGTCCGCTCTAGATTTGAAATCCGCACCCACGAGGTTTGGGAGAAAAAAAAATCTTCCACGTTGTTCCGGGAACTTAAGGTGTCCACGGGCTCTTGCCTGCTGTGGGAGAGTCAGTGCGCTCGATCCCCTTGGGAGGCAGGCAGCCTGCGTCCAGAGCCGGCGCTTTCCTTGCTTTCAATATGGCAGCGCCAGCTCCCAGTCCTGAAGCCAGGGGCCGGGCAGGCTTGGAGATGCCCGCGCGCGTCGAGAGCACGCAGAGAGCGCCAACTGCTGGGACTAGTGACTCCGGGGTTTGGGTTGGTGGCGGTGGTGCAGAGTGGTGGGAGAAACTGCAAGGCGATGAGGTAAAGGAAGACGCCGGATCTTGCTTATGGGGAAGTTCAGGGTTTTCACCCATAACTTGGGAAGTCTGAGCTTCCTAACTTTTCATGGCCAATATTTCCGCAGGATCTAGCTGCAGAAATGACTGTGGTGAAAGGATCCCTTTCTGTCTTGTTCCTCGGCTAAGTGCAAAATCATCTCCTAGGGGTGTCAGATTATGAAATAAACCGATGTCTGTTCAAGTGTGTGCTGAACTAACAGACAGGTGGGGAGGGGCGCGCAGAGCGATCTCAAAGGGGGAATCCAGAGGGTGTGATTTCTAATCTCAGCTTTTCTTTTCCTAGAAGTAGAGGCAAACCCTCGACCCTTGCCGGAGAATTGTCCACAGTTAAGCGGGGGGAGGAGGGAGTTGCAAAACATTTTGGCGCGTTTTCTATTCTGGAGGTGGTGATTGAGACTCTGAAGTCACGGATGAGTAATCGGCGTGGGCGGTGTCGATTCCGTGCATCAAATCCACTGGGAAATAAGCCTTCTCTAGCCAGAGGGGTCACTCTCTAACGGTGTGAGGCAAATGATCTTTGAAAGGCCCACCATGAAACTCACTAAATTCCCAGCGCCTTTTTGAACAGTCCCTTAGGGACTGGGGACTAAAAATGAGGAAAACATGTGCTCTCAATGGAATTCAGATCTGTGGGACAGTGGATTCGAAATGAAGATTGGCACCTGAATGCGATTTGTGTAAGAGAAGTTGTAGCTAGTGACTTAACACAGCATTTTTTGTTTGTTTGTTTGTTTGTTTTCAGAGAGAAAGGAGAAAGGGAATATGGGAGGCAGGAAAGAAAACTACTGAAAATATCTACTTTGCAGGGGTTAGAAAGAAGTGTCAGGTTGCCAGGAGAACATGGTAAGACTGGAGAAATCCTCCAGCATAGAAAATAGCTTGCTGGCAAGCAGACAGAAAACAGCTTCCTAATTAAGTTTGTTTATTGTGTGCAATTCTTGAGCATTTGGAGACCAAAAGAGAGAGTAGCAGATGGAATTATCCTGGTGGGTACTATAAGCACCTTGGGAATGTGTATGTCCTGGGGTGGCAGAGGTAGTATTTCACAGGCAGCTTGGTGTTTGTGGCTGGGAAAGAAAGAAAACACATGAAACTCTTTCCCTCCCTCCCTCCCAAACTAGCCCCCCCCACACAAACCTAGACCAATCGGTATGAAAATAATTTTTCAAAATAAACTAGCTTCCTTCTAGTCATTTTTAGTTAAAATGTCATTCAATAACGAAATTTCAGAAAATAGCAACTTGCTTTCTTGATTCTGCTCACGTACCATTTTGTTAGCATTTCTAAAATCATACTAATCTAAGACAAGTATCCTGACATTACAGCCTCATGATACAGCTAGGGCTAGAGTAGAGACAAGGAACAAAGCTATTTGACCATAGAAATAGGGCTAGCAACCCTGGCCTTTTCTTGTGGCTTTTGCTATCTCTTCCCAGATCCATCTACAGCTAGCAGTACAGTTCATAGTAGATTCACTGCCTAAGGCTCTGCTTCCCAGCTAAACCTCAGCATTTCCATTTCTTTTGCAACAACACATTGCTTATCTTAATTAAAAAAAACAGGCATCTAAAGGATTTAGTCAATTCACATTTTGTACTGGTATATATAAAAGTCTTTTAACTCAAAGACTAGTAAACAGTCTAAATGATCCAGAAGGCATTGAAGCTACCAAGGAAGTACAAATATCCTGAGGTGGGGCACCTATCTTAGACAGAGCACACTTCCTGACAGCACTTAGCTAGTGAAAAATTGAATCACCAATAATGGCTGGTAACATTTGATTTAAACACTATGCTGACAATATCTTGTTTTAACTAAATGTGGCAGTAATCACTAAAAAATTCTAAGGGATTTTCTTGTGTTCCACAAATAGTTGTTTTCTGACAGAGTATATTTGTTCAAATGGCATATTTTAAGAAATATCTACATACTCATTTTTTCATCAAAAATATACTAAGGTACTCCTCTAAAATAGAAAGCACCCCCATTGCTATGGAAACAGAATCATCCTTGTTCTCGAGTCCTGACAGTCATCTCAAGACTTCCATGCCTTCCTCGTGAAGGAAAAGTTAATTTCAGTGTGTTTAATAAAAGATATTTGTATTAATAAAAGCCATCTAACCATGTTAGTTGATTTTTTAACTAGTGTGTACATACGTTCTGAAGAAAGTGGATTGTTGTTTTGATTTTCTTAATAGATTGGATCACTTGAAAATCACTACTTATTCAAACACAAAAACCATCCTCGAAGGTCTCGAAGAAGTGCTCTTCACATCACTAAGAGGTTATCTGATGACGATCGTGTAAGTGTGCCTTTGTCCACAAACTCAGTCTGGCCAACTACGTTCTGTGTAACTCCCGACAGGAGCAAAAGCATCTCCCATTTGATACTTTTGTGTTATAACTGGGTTTGCATTTATATATGTTTGTCTTACTCATTATTTCTTTCTGTAGAATCATAATTGTTCATAATATGTTTGGATTGGATTAAGCTAACAAACATTAATTTTATGTATATGCTTAGTTATATGTGATATATTTCTACATATCTAGAGTTGGGTTTTGAGTGCTGAAAATCAGGAGAAAGAATTAATAAAATATTGACACTGTAGTCAATCAACAGCCTTTTATACAGTGTGTGGCAAATATGAAATGCTCCTTTTTGAAATCGTTAAAAGAAAATCTAAAGATCATTTTAATATGACCCAAATGGTGCCAAAGAAATGTGTAGTCCTGGTTTCAGTTACACTTCAGTATAACTGAAAACATTTTATCACTTGCATTGTTAAAATATGTTGGTGTTTAAGAGAGAACGTCTAATGCATTCGTTAATGAGGGGTTTTCAAGCACATTATGTTCTTTGAGCCAGTTCTTTTTCATCCTTGTGTGTAGGCCAAGTCACAGTTATTTGCCAACAACAAACAATATCTGGGGTCAATATAGATAAATAACATGAGGACAGTTTGAATGCATATTCAATTATACTTATTGGTGTGGGGGTCTATTTTCAAGGTCAGAAGTCATGCTAATAGAAAAGAATGAATGGATGTTGAAATACGTAGCCTCCTTTCTAACTCTGGTGTTCCTAGAGAAATATTTGCATGCTGGTTGGCCTAATGTCTGTGTCCATGACTACTGTTTCTTAGGATACCCTGAGAGTTACTGTGAGAAATACAGAGTATTATCTCAACTTTGGGAGGGAGGAGAAGATAAGTGACAGAAGGAAATAGTGACAAAGGAGTTGAAAGTACATAGAATATAGGAATCCTGGAAATTACATTGTGGTTCAGTTTACTCCTTAATTGTTTGTTTTAAATAAGAAAACAGATTATGAGGAGAAACAATTGTTAGGCCTTTGGCTGCAGGGCTCAAAAACGTTAGAGACATTCCACACTGATTATGGTTCATCAGGACCAAGGACCGCATTGCTAGGTCTTTGTATCAACATGTGGCTAGATGTGGTAGATCAAACTGGAAGCCAGCAGGCTTATTTAAAAAGTTAATAGACAGCTCCTTATATGTGGGCTTTAAAAAACAGACCTCCCAGTACCGTGACTAGGAGAAAGAAAATGCATGCCCAACATTAATAACAATAGGTTAATAATTAGTAATAAAAGGCTAATAATTACTCATCAATAAAAGTTCATTAAAAAGGAGTTAGTCCCATGAAAAATTAACCTCTGGGTAATTTTAGTTTAGGAAATACCTTGTAGTCGTTGAAGTTTGCAGTGGACAAGATGGTGTTTTAGTATCTTCACAGATCCAAAGTGTTATTTACAATGAAGAGCATGATACCTATTATACATACAATAAGAAGGCACTGACAATATTCTCTATTCCATTTAGTCTGTTCTTCCAGAGATTAAAGTGCAGTTCTACTTTATGGTTTGCTACAAGTGAGTGTTGACCTGATCGGATGGCAGAGTGGTTCTTCTCACACGCTGTTCTTAAAATTGCTCCTCATTTTCACTTTGCTGCTCTTTTCAACCAGGGATATTCTTTCAGTTAATCCCCATGAAATGTATTGTGATGCCTACTTTCACACACTGATGAAATTCCCAACTTTAAGTTTCCCCTCACACAAAGATTTGTGTGTATCTCCTAGCAGCCAGCTTCCAAAGACCAAGGTAGATGGCAGGCAATGTATTCTGAGTAGTGTGTTATTTTAAGGCACAATGATAGTCTGAAAACACAAGCACTTTAAAATAAATTATACTGACTAATTGCTGGCTCTCCAGTACCTCCAGTATTTATAAAAGGCTTGCAATACACTTTGTGCTTGAAAATTTAAGGCATTTCTAGTGGATGTGTTTGGCATTCAGCTGAAATTATTTTTCATTTTTTTATTTTTGGATTTGATCCTCTCATTTTAAACATACCGCACCTCACAGTGGACTGTCACTAAATACACAACAGAAAATCTGTGTTTGGAGCAGGAAACAGTCCCGTTTCCCAGCAAAATAAGAATATAGTATTGTCTCATAATGACAATAACTGCAAGACAGCCCTGCATTCTCACAGGGCCTCAAATATGATAAGGTTATGCCAGGTAATTTTTATACTGCATAATACATGCAGCTAAATTAATGACAGGTGTGCCTGGACAGTAACACTCATTGATCACCTCAGGTCTTCAATCTGTTTCTCCTATTAAATACTACTAGGCAGGAGGTAGAAACATAGAGGAACCAAAGTTCCAAATTTGCACACACAGCACCTGTGTTACATAACACCTGTAATTTTTACCTTCGGACGTGAAGGGAGAAACAAAGCAGCAAGGAAGCTCTAACAACAGTACCTGAACACCCTTGGCTGGTTGACTTGTTCTGTGAAACTGGCCAGTTTTTAGCCACTGAGCCCTGAAGCTTCAGTGTGGAAACCTGTACTGTGGTCTGGTTTCTGATGACAGCAGTCTGCACTTCTATTCCCACTGTTAACACAGTGTAGATGATCTGAAGTACTCGCTCCTTTGCTTCTCCCTGTAAGAGGATTCCTTACTGTAATGGAAGGAACCCTTGTCTCCTCAGTGAGCAACCTTTTCTTCTCCCTGGGCTGGGAGTTTGAGGTGGTCAAACAAAAACATCGCTGAGCTACATAAGTTCTGGTAGGGAGGCTCTTGGAGATGATTATATCCAGGTGGAAACTTGATTTTTATTTCTTACCATAAAAACATTTGTAGGTGATATGGGCTGAACAACAATACCAGAAAGAGAGAAGCAAACGTTCAGTTCAAAAGGACTCAGCATTGAATCTCTTCAATGACCCAATGTGGAATCAGCAGTGGTACTTGGTGAGTACTGAAAGGACTGTGTAGGATCTAGGTTCTTATACTGCTGCGTCATCTACAAGTGGATCTGTCTATGCTTTTATCTGTATTAGGTGGGGTTTCTAAAGGAACAACTTACAAGATAAATATATTTCTAGCCATCTATCTATCTATCTAAAGTCTATAGATAGATATATAGAAGGGGATGTATTAGAATGACTTATGGGCTGTGGTCCAGAGAGTCCACAAGTGGTTGTGTAGCAACAGAAGTTCCAAGTTCAGTCTATGAGGTTGGATGTCTCAGCTGGTCTTCTGAATATGCTGGAATCTTTAATGCCAGGGACGGAATGGGCTTGTTAGCAAGAGCAAGCAGGCAAAAAGAAAGTCATCCTCCATCTTCCATTCTTCCATTTCCTTTATATAGGGTGGCAGCAGAGGTGTGGTCCAGACTAAAGGTGGATCCTTCCACCTCGAAAGACCTAGATTAGAAGTGAGTCTTCCCACTTCAAATGACTTAATTAAGAAAAAGCCAATCATAGGTGTGCCTGCCATTTGAGTTTTGATTAATTCCAAATATAGTCAAGTTGACAACCAAGAAGGGCCATCACAGCATCTTACACAGAATTTGGGAAAAGGCTATGCCTCTAGAAAGTTGGACTAATGGAGCTTTCCTAACAAGGCCCTTTTGTTTTGCTGAATGAGTGTCCAAAACAAGTCCATATATGTTAATACTTCTTGTCTTTGTGTCTTAAGTATAACTGGTGTAAATGCAAAAGAATCATGTTGGGCAGAAAACAATTTCCAGAAAGACCAGAAAGATCACTACAATGGAATTTACTTTCAAGAAGCCTCTAAATGACTCATAGATCATAGTCAGTATAATATACAGTCCAAATTGACATTTCTTAGACATACTGTGGACAAGAAACCCTGAATGAGGCAAAAGGAAAGATTCCAGGAATTTCTATTTACAAATACCTAGCCCTTGGGGGAAATCCACAGATATAGCTGACCTGAACAAGGGGGAGCTCATGGGCCCCAGACTAACAGCTCAGAAACAAGCATAGGACAGAACCAGGCTCCCTAAATGTGGGTGTCAGTTAGGAGGCCTGAGGAGTCTATGGGGCCTCTGGTAGTTGAATAGTATTTATCCCTAGTGTACAAATGGATGTTGGGAGCCCATTCCCCACAGAGGGATACTCTCTCAGCCTAGACACATGGGGGGAGGGCCTAGGCCCTGCTCCAAATGTAACAGACTTTGATGATCCCGCTTGGAAGGCCTGACTCTTTCTATGGAGCAGAAGAAAGATGGGATGGGGATGGTGGGGGACAGGGGAGGACGGAAGTGAGAGGGAACTGGGATTGACACATAAAATAAGATTGTTCCTAATTTAAATAAAAAGATTAAAAAAACAAATACCTACTCTTGTAAATGACTGTTTCTTCAAGATGTTTGCTGAGCCTTGATTGGTGTATGTACACGATGCTGCTTGACTTCAAGGTGTTCTCTTCAGTGTGATTAATTGTATGACCGCTGGTGGCAGGGTCATCATTCATGGTTCCAGAGGTCATACTCCTTTTAAAAAACTTCTTCTCTCATATATTAGATCCCTACCACAGTTTCTTCTCTGCTCTCTCCTCCCCATTTCCCTTTCAGAAAAGGGCAAGTCAGAGGCCATATTCTTTTTTTAAATTAATTACTTAATTAATTTATATCTACATCTGGACCACAGTTTCCCCTTCCTCTTCTCCTCCCAGGCCTTTCCCCCACCTCTCCTCTGCCACTGCCTACCCCCATCTAATCCTCCTCTGTTTCTATTGAGAAAAGGGTAGGCTTCTCATGGATTTCAACAAAACATGGCATATCAAGTTGCAGTAAGACTAAGCACCTCCCCTCTTATTAAGGCTGGACAAGGCAACGCAGTATGAGGAATAGGGTTCCAAAAGTCAGCAAAAGAGTCAGAACCAGCCCCTGCTCCCACTGTTAGGAGTCCCACAAGATGACCAAGCTGCACAACTGACACATATCTGCAGAGGGCCTAGGTCAGGCCCAGGTAGCCTCCCTGGTCTAAGTTCAGTCTCTGTGAGCTGTGAGCTCCTACGAGTCCAGGTTAGCTGATTTTGTGGGTTTCTTGTGGTGTCCTTAACCCTTCTGGCTCCTACAACCCTCTCTACCCTGCCCCTTGCAGGCTTCCCTGGGCTCTGCCTAACGTTTGGCTGTGGGTCTCTGCATCTGTTTCTGCCAGTTACTGGATGAAGCCTTTCTGATGACAACTGAGCTAGGCACCAATCTATGAGTGTAGCAGAATATCATTAGGCATCATTCCACTGACATTTTCTTTTCACTAGTATATTGCTTCTATCCTAGGTCTCTAGGATATCCAGCCTCTAGGTCCTGGTGCTCAAAACAGTGTCAGGGGTGGGTTCACTCTCATAGTACGGGTCATTAGCTGGCCACTCCCGCAATTTCTATTCCGCCTTTACTCCAGCACATCTTGTAGGCAGGACAAACTGTAGGTCAAAAGTTATGTGGCTGGGTTGGTGTGCCTGTTCCTCCACTGGAAGTCTTAAGGGGCCACATTTTTAACAACTATACACTTGCACACTCACGTGAGAGCCTTCTCTACCGTTGGTCAATCAAAAGGCTATGTATTTCCAACTCTTGTGATTCAGCCTCACAATCGCCTGGTGAGCCATCACCACTACTACATTTTTTCAGGAAGTATCAGTAAGGAGACAGCCTATTCATTGGATTTTTATTGTGGTTACTTAGCATTGTTTGCTGATTCTATATCACCAGGTCCTTCATACTCCTACTGCAGTTTTCACTTTTCATATCTGTGTTACCTCATTTCCCAACTCTTCTATACAGTCATGCACACTGTAAGTATTAGGAAAATTACCAGAAAAGGGAAGAAAATATTCCCTAAATTACATATAAGTAGAAAAAAGTTATTAAATAAAAATTTCTAGTGAGGCTAGTCTCCGAGGCGCTTATTTTTCTTAGGAGAATATCTCTACAACAACCATACATGATGAGAACTCAGTGTAGCAAGGAAGGCTCAGGACTTTGTCGAGATAAAAACACACACCACCAAATAAAACCTCAGCATGAGGGAAGCTTGAGCTTCTTAATATAACTGGACAAAACAACAGAGAGTGTGTGTAAAGAGGCCCAAGATAATTCAGCTCTTACATTTTGTTTTGTTTTGGTTTTTCTAATTAGGACAACTAGAAGAGCAGCATAAATGTGTTATTAGGCTGGAACTCTCAACTTTGTGTTTTCATTTTACCCAATTGCCTTCTTTTTGTTACCCAAGGAAAAAGAAAAAAAATGACCTTAAGTCCCTGATTAAACAAGAAAAACCATAATTTCACCAGTGTTTGTTTTTCTTCACTAGCAAGACACCAGGATGACTGCAGCTCTGCCCAAGCTGGATCTTCACGTGATACCGGTTTGGCAAAAGGGCATCACAGGCAAAGGAGTTGTCATTACTGTGCTGGATGATGGCTTGGAGTGGAATCACACAGACATATATGCCAATTATGTGAGTCCCTATCTTTTTCACTTAGGGAGCCATCTCTGCAGACATGCAGGGCGTTTCTCTCCTTAAAGAGAGGCGGGCTGCCTGGACATCATTCTCTAGGTCCTATCAGCCTGTTCCAGGAGGCATAAGAAGAGTCCATCAAAGTCAAAGATGACTCCTAACACCCTGTGTTAGGAAGTAGGATGGGGGTGCTTACATAAATGGAACTGTTAAAATCCTTCACATGATGAGCCACAAGCAATCAGCCAAAGCTTGCTGAATGATACCACTTTATTGGTGATTTTCTCAAATGCCTTATGGGTCAGTATCTCTTCTTGCATGAGTGCAATTCCCACTGTGGGTACCACAGTAAAAATGTCAAGCCAAGAAGGGAAGAGTTTACTAGCAGCAGGAAGGCAAATAATTATCAGTTAAGTTACTAATAGAACATGAACTCCAATTATGGATCTATTTCCCTTAGAACAGGAGGCGAATATTTCATCTATCAAATTATCCCTTATCATTCTCTTGTCCTTTCTACCCATGCAAAATTCCCTAGTCATAATTCAAAGCTAAACGACAAAAGAAAAAGACTATGGGGAAGAGATTTAAAAAATGGCTCAGAGTAGAAATCAAGAGTTTTTAAAACCTAGGGGAATAGGAATAGTGGTAGTGGATCTAAGTCAGAGATGCCTAAATGCAGCAGTATGATTGGAAAAGAAAACAGGCAAGTTAAGCTTGCTTGAGTTTCAAGCAAATTTTCAGTAATTCAATTTCATGAGTTCTTACTGTGCCTACGAAGGCTGAGGGAAAGCATCATAGAAGTCAATCCACCCCACAGTCATCTCTTTGCATGTTGGTTATGAAAAGATGCATATTACCACATGAGTATCTAGCTCTGTGGTCTTAATAAGTCACTGACTTTCTCTGGGCCTCACTCTTTGTTTCTGAAGAATGAGACATCTGACCCCATGGAATGCTGACCTTTTACAGATTTCTGAGCATCTGAGAAATATGAGTTTGCTACATTCACTGAGTGTTGGGTACCTTGCTCATCAGTGCTGCTGGCTTGTGGGTATCATTCATGCTCAGTCAGACTCAAAGCTCTGAAATATGCTGTTTGGGGCTGTCTGCCAGCATGGCAAAGGCTCCAGAAGTGCTACCTTTTATGACTCTATGTTGTTATTTTTGTTGTCTATTTAGGATCCAGAGGCTAGCTATGATTTTAATGATAATGATCATGATCCATTTCCCCGATACGATCCCACAAACGAAAACAAGTGAGTAAATGTGTGTTTTGGAGGAATAAGGTTAAGTAAAATGTTTTTTATCTTGTCTGGGAGACATGCTATAAATTTAGTCCAATTTCAAGTCTTAGTAAATGTTACTACATACTCTCCACACCATATTTCATTGTTTTTTAAAGCAGAAACAAAAACCTGTTTTCATATTCCTTTTAGTTTATAGAAGCATATTTAGTGAAATTTCTTATTTTATAAAATTATCATTCTTATATCATGAAATTTGCACCTCAAGTATAACTGAATATTTGTAGATTCAGGAAGAATGTTAGGAATGTAATGGATGTAAATTGTGTGCCTCCCTTACCCCTTCATGCTTGTTATTAATCATGAAAAAGAAACATATGCAGATAAATAACACCCAACAACTTCCCATGGCAATAACAATTATGCTTTCTAACCTAACTCCACCAGAAGGTCATGGTCTGACAACAGACAAAAGGAGCTCAGTTGAGGTCTGTTATCTGCACCTGGCTCAGTCTCTAAGATGTCGAAGCAGTTAGGATTCTTCTGAGGGAGAAAAGGGATGAGCCAGTGGCTCTTAGGCTAATAGCTTTCCCTTGGAGTCTCACAGTATAAGGGAAGCCAAGAACTAGTCAGTCCTTCCAAAGTTACGTGCCAAAGACTTTCAACGCCCTCTCCTAACTCTACAGAAACTTTACTCTAGAAACATACAGTCTCAAATATCTATGCCCACATGAGTACTTACCTTTATCATACTGATATTTATTGCAGGCTTCGAGGAGACATTCAAACTTTTTCTCCACATAGAAGAGACTTTCACCAAAAGAGATGAAATTGGGGTCAAAATTGGGGCATGTTTCTGTGAAGATAGGAACTGTCTTGACAGGTTTTGGTGTGTGAAACATTCTACATGAAACATGAAGTGGTTCTCTTTCCTCTGGGCCCTGTATGCCTTGGGTAGTACTTTAGTTTAAAGTTATTTTTCTTTGACCTGCCTAAGGAACACACATGTCCTGTCTGTCTTCTTGTGACCCTCTGGTACACTTCCATCATGTAAGGAGCAACAACTCACATGGTATCCTTTCCCACCACAACCTTACCTCCAGTGTGGGCTCTTCTTTGTCTCATCCTTTTATAGGAAGCCTAGACTCCCCTCCACCTCCAATCCACTCATTACAACCAGCTCTACTCATCCTCATTTATTTGGGTACCTGGTCCCTTCTTTAGGCAGACAACAGATTCAGACAGCAAACCACACCCATCCCCACCCCCTAAGGACCACCCCTCTCCAAGAAGGGGTACTTGCCCTACACTTGCAACTCCGCTCACCCTGAGCTAAGTACCAGCCTCATGTCTTGCACCTGCCTACCACTCCCATACCTCCTTTTCAGGTAGAGATGCCAGACATGCATTGCCTACTCTATCAGTACCTATTACTTGAGGGAAAGGCCTGAGGATTTCCTCCAGACCCCTAAAGATTGACTGAGATTCCTATAAATCTACAGAAAGTCTGTATCTAGGACTACCCCTGTCTGACACCCCACCTCCACAAGGACAACATTCATCAAGAGAAACTAGGCCAATATAAACTTGACCTCAACTTGCAGATGTCTGTTTCTTCCTTGAAGAATAAGGAAGGTGGTGTAGGATTTGTACACTACTCTTTTAGTTCCACTTCTCTGGGTTTGAGCAAAGGCGTTAACTACAAATCCATAACATTTCAGTACCAACACAGTGGGAAAGCTAGTGCAGTGTCCTCGGAGGAAAGTACGGATATCTTGAGAAGGACAACAGAGCTCACAGACAAGATTTTAGACATGTTTCTCAGGTAGAACAGTCAGAAACAACAGGAATACGGATTCTTTTTGGAACACTGCCATATGGTTGGTGTTAGCCTAGCTGGAAGTTGTAGCTTTGCCAATGACATGGAATTGGAGTAACCTTCGGGAAATCACTCACTTCTCAGTGCCTCTACTTTTCTTCTTCTTATCATCTAAAATGGGTAACGAAGCACCTGCTATCTATATTTCTGAACGTTCCCGAGAAAATGGCCAGTAAATACTTGCAAATAGGCATTACCTTACTTATTGGAATGACATAAAAGAAACTTCCATTGAATCCCTAGTTAAGACCAACAGCAACCTGCCTATGCCCAAATGATGAGTTTGGGGAGACTTAGTGAGAGCAGGCAGGGTACCTCCCTCCTATGGAGAGCTTGGGGCCTGGCTATACAATACAACATGGTGATAACTTGTGTAGTGATACTCTCCCATTTCTTTGGTCATGAAAAGGGCCCAGACTTCATATGAGTCATATTTGTATTACTGGAGCAAATAAAATTAAATCAACTTGAAAAGAGGAAATGTTTCTTTTGGCTTACAGTTTTAGAGGGTTCAGTCCACGTTTGTTTGTGTCTGCTGCTCTTTGGACTTGTGGTGAGATGTAGTGGGATAAGATGTTCATCTCACAGCAGCAGAAAGTACAGAGGAAGAGACCAACATCTGACAATTAACTTTTTAGGGTGTGTCCCTAATTACATAAAATTAACCTCTTATTTGTTCCAGTATCTTCCAATAGGTTCAAGGTAAGTTCTTGACACATGGGCTTTTGTGGAATATTCCACATCCAAAATGCAGCAAACCTTGTATAGAGGTAGCTGCTTTATCTTTATAGTGAGTGTTATGTATGCTTATCCTGAAAACTCTGGGTTTCCAGAGCATTGCCGACCATGGGCCTTCCATATGCACGGTATGGAGTTAATATGACATCAGCACAGCAGCTAACAGCAGGCTTAGAGATGTGTTTAGATTAGTCTTACCTCTTCTACTCAACAAAGTGGGTTTTTTTGTGTGTGTGTTTAGATCTCAACATCTTTTAAAAATGAATACTTCATATGACTATTATTATGGAAACTACGCAAATATGCATATGTGTGTGTTCATAATTACAGCTTGGAGATTAATGTACAGAAATGTAAATAATTGTTTACTGAAATGATTTTAATGATAAGGACAATGGTAGTGGTATTGACAATGACAGTGGTCAAGGTTTCTCACTTAACAATTGAGATGGATTTCATTTCATTAAGAAATCAGCATAACAAGAATGGCATCATTTGATAGGAGCATCAGGAGAAACATTTTGATTTCCTCAGTCAATTCAGAATCTGTATTTGAAAATGACATGAGAATATTTCTCAAAGCACTCTTGTCTATCAACCATAAAGATAGTATCCCTATCATTTATCATAAACTACAACAAAAAATAGTGACTTTCTAGCACATTGCTAGTCATAACATCTTTTAAGTTTAGAAAATAAATGACTTTGTACATCAGCTGGAGACCTATTGGTTCCCAAATCCATGAGTATTATCTCTCTAAATCATCCCTATCACTGTCCTTCATAATTACTAATAAGGAGTCACATAGTGCCACATATGAATGCCCTATGCCAATCAAAAGAGGAATCACCAAACAATAAATCATAAAATTTCAGGTAATTCTTACTGCTAAGCCGACATGAATCTTTATTCACTATTGCAACACCAATTACAGATTACTTTTCCAGTCAAGTAATTAGTGTCACAAGGATGTCGTAAGCAAAATAGTAGTCAATACCTTTTGAAAATTTTTTAAATCAATTTTTAAAATGAAGTTACTTCCATGGTTCTAAATTAGTAGAAGATGTTTATTTGTTTGGGTAACCACCCACATTTTGATTTGACTTAAGGCCTATTCTATGAGATGGAACACATAACTGCCATGTCTAAGAGCCCATAACTAGATAGGCTATGGACCTAGGAGAAAGCCCGGTACTAAAGGAGCATGACAACAAAAAGACTCCAAATGGCACATTTCTATACCCATAATAAGTGCATTACTCAACCCTCATCGAGGGCTCCCATCTTGCAATGGATGGGAGCCAATGTTGCACCAGTATATACTGTAGGCAAATTGTTGTTGTTGGTTACAGAGTTTGTAGCTGGATGAGATTGATGTGTACTTTTCCTCTGCAGTAATGTGCAGAGGACCTATCAACACCATGATCACTAGTCAGTGAAGGGGTGACTTTTCCAGCTGAGCAACAGCCTGATTTCTCTGTATTTGATGGCATAAGTAAACTGTGTCTTCAGCTATTATAGGGCCTTGCCATCCATCATGCTGTGGAAAGAAACCAACACATGACTAAGTAACACTCAAAAAAATGTTCAACATCCTTAGTCATCAGGAAAATGCCAGTTAAACTACTTTGATATTCCATCTTACCCCAGTCGAAATGGCTTTCCATATGGTTTTTCAAAAGGACATTATGGAAACCTACTACTCTAGAAACTTCCTTAAGTATATACTATATAAAAAAATTTAAATGGAGTCACCATATAACGAGGGAGAGAATACATCAACTTATGCCATCAAGCAAAACCTCCAATAGCAGGTATAGGGTGCATCTTATTGAGTTGTTGGTCAAAGAATCCAGACACAAGCTATTGTAGGTATCTTTTATGTGTTCTGATTTGTAAACATTCTTCAGAAAGTTCCAAGGTAGCTTCAGTTGCCTGTGAGATAACCCTAAGTCAGACATAAAATGTAAAATGGGAATTTAAAAATCACTAGCAGATGATCTAGCTTCAGAAGTTACAAGACACTTGAAGTTGCATAATGTGTTCCCATTAACACCAGCCACTGTTACTGTTGCTTGCCCATTTTTTGCTTCATTCACCATAGGGTCCTGAATGGCAGCAAGATACATCTGATTCACCTGCTGCCTTGTGCTCAGAGTTACAAGGAAGGGCAGTGTTTTCTTCCCACATCAGCTTCAGTGCTTGAAAGCTGTCTGGGGGAGGGAACCATTACAGAGAGAATCTCAAGGAATCATGGAGATTCTACCTAACTAAATGGGAACATATTAGCTTGCAATAAAAATAAAGAAAAACAAACGACAACAAAAAAATCCTAAAACTGTAATCCCTGTTATAGAAACCGGCATAGAATTCCTGTCCTCTATTAGAATGAGGGAGCACTAATAACCATTTAGTCAAAAAAGACCAGGAAATCTTCTTTGGGACATCAGGGAAAATAATAAGCAACATTGTCTTCATTGGCTCAGTAACTTCAGGAATTTTATATCCTGTGCTAGGATGAAGTACTATGGTCAGTGTAGTACTTTCTAGAAGTAGCTGGCTAGTGTTGCTCCTGAAGGGTGAACCCTTCTCTAATCCTCTATGCCAGCACACCTGACAGTGGCTCTTGTACATCACTAGCAGCTTCATAGAACAGTCAGCTGCTTCTGCAATGGAATGAATCCTGGAAATAAATTCAGCTTAGCATTCTCATCAGTTTTGGGCCTCCCTGAGTCAGGCTAGCAGAAGAAAGCACAATTGTTTTCTCCAGAATTTCAGAACTGATTCTTCAGTGGTAGACATGATCTAGTGGTTGGTGTATTCCATCAAATATTCTTAATCACCTATCACTCTCTTCAGTTGACTGGAAAACTAGTTTAGTTTAGTTCTCAACCAGGTTACAAGAATGTCTCATTTCTCAGTTAGTCTGCAGTATCCCCAGAAAATCACATCCTCCTCTTGATAACATCATCTTTGGGTATCGTGGTGTGACACATGGTCAGAGGCATGGAGAAGGGCAAGCAAGGGGGACCTTTGTCTATCACACTTTATGAGGGCTGATTGAGGCTCAGTCCAAAATAGAAAGCGAAGAACCATTTTATCAGGAATACTTAATGCAAAACCATTCCTAGATTTGAAAGTGAGGAACCATTTCACTTCCAGTATGTAAGAAGCAGAAGATGTGTTGGTGACTGTCCCTGGGTGTTGGCTTATTCACAATGGTGTCAGCAGCTACACTGGTTGGGTTCTCTGTGTATGTTCTATGTGGTCTTCACAATCACATGTTTTGCCCACTACCTATATCCTTTATCTTGTCAGATTTTATTTGACTCCAATAGGGAGAACACAAGGAAGAAAGCTGATAAAAAGCTAGCACATCTAAATACCGTGGATTCATGTGCAAAACACAATTGTTATCTTTGCTTCTGTTTTATAAGTTTTACTCCTTTAACCCTTAGACATGGAACTAGATGTGCAGGAGAAATTGCCATGCAAGCAAATAATCGCAAGTGTGGGGTTGGAGTTGCATACAATTCCAAAGTTGGAGGTAAGGTTGCCCTTTTCCTACAGTTTGGCACTTCAATTGAAGGCATGTACTCCCTGCTATAAAATGGGGAGAGGGGACTTTCCCTAACCCAAGGGGAAATGAGTTCTTAACAAAATTTGTTGCAGGACTTGAGTGTTGCTTGCAAGAAATTAGTGGCTCTGAATTCCTAGAATATAGCCTATACATCCTTGCAGGAAAAATAATGACTCTGTTGAATGGCACTTGAGTGAAATTGAATTTTCTCTATGTTCTGTTTTCAGAGGATATCTATTAAATTCTTGCTAAGAGAGCATAAGCTAGACTTTGCCTGCTTCTTAATTCTTTGCTTATAAGTAAAAAATAAGGTTGTGTTTTTTTAATTCTTTTCAAGACGAGGTTTCTCTGTGTATCAGTCCTGGCTGTTCTGGAACTAACTCTGTAAATGAGACTAGCCTCAAACTCATAGAGATTTACCTGCCTCTGTTGCCCCAGTGTTGGGATTAAATGCATGTGCTACCATGCCAGACTCAAAGAATAGTTTTTAAAAGATTTTTTAAAAATATGCTATTGTTACACAAAGTAGTCCACCTTATGATGGCAAAAAAGGAGAATCAGTAGCTGACTTGTTCAGTGTAGGGTAATTGAGGATATTTGAGGTAATTGAGGCCTTTATAAATTAGAAGTAGCAAACAAGGAACTAATTAGAATATGAAGAGGTTACCACCTCTAGGCTCAAAATAGCAAGGAGAAAGAGAGGCCAGAGAAAGTAGAGAGATAAATACATAGCTATAGAGAATTCCTGGGCAAGTGATGGGGGATGTCCTTCTGTATTCTGTGAATATATGTTTTTCTTATTGGTTGACAAATAAATGCTGATTTGCCAGTAGCCAGGCAGGAAGTATAAGCAGAGCTATCAGATTAGGAGAATTCTGAGAGGATGAAGGTGGAGAGTGAGTCACAAGGGAGAAAGGCCATGCAACCACCAGGAAGGGTAGGATGCCTGGGCATTCTCTGGTAAGCCAAACCATGTGAAGATACATAAATTAATAGAAATGTGTTAATTAAAAGAGAGCTAGCAAGTGAGAAGCCTAAACCATTGGCCAAACAGTTTATAATTAATATAAGCCTCTGTGTGTTTATTTGGGAATAAATGGCTGAGGGACAGAGATTTCCATCTACAGGCAAGAGCTCTAGCTTCACATGTGCAAAAGAAGCCACTTCCAAGTGGGTAGGGTATAGATGAACAAGACTTCACTCACCTTACAAGATCACACTCCTATTGGTGATTGCATTTGACTGAGCCACTGGGAAGGCAAAGAGAACCCATTGGCAGCATCAGGGTTCCAGTGGAGAACAGTGGAAAGCACATCCATCAGGATATAGGAAGAAAGCAAAAATTTTCTCTTTTCTTATTCCCTATCTTGGGCTTTCATAGTTATGTAGTAAACTTTGAGTTTAATTTTGCTTTCAAAACATAACCACAAAATGATCATTTGTAGCGTATGTCATTCCAATAAAGTCTCATTAAAATCTACCTGGTTACACTTTAGATTTGGCTATAGATTTCTTTTTTAGAAACCAGATAAATACACATTGTGATGTGGATATGCCTGCATCCTCACCAATGTAGGATACTTATGTAGATTTTCAAGTATCACTCCTGATTTTTTTAATACCATCATCTTCAAAATGCTATTCTAACTTACAGACAATGAAAGCAGGCACAGATCATGTAATCAACTCAAAAAGAACTCACTTTTTAAGTAGCTGTAAGCCAAACATCCATAGTTGGTGAGGAAATTATCTGATCCTTCAGGTTTTGGAGAAGAATTGTAATTAAGTTCTTAAGGTAACCAATAGCAGCCAGTGGAAACATCAAAGAAAGACATAAAATTTCTGATCCTAAACCTACTGTGCTATTTCATCACTCTTACCTTTGATGCTCCAGTCCCAATTTGAGCAATTTAATGTACTAGGCATCTACTGTGCATCAATCAAATATCATACAGTATATTATAGAACATGTTCCCTGAAGTGGACAGTGTAGATTTGGGTGCCATGTTTTTGGAGTTTGGATCCTGGATTTCTGCTTTGAAGCTATGTGACCTTAAAGAAGCCTTAGTCTGTCTCTTAGGCCTTAGTCTGTCCACATATAAAATAGAAGAACTACAGCACCAATTTGAAACAGTAGTTGTAAAGAGATGAGTTTCTGTGTGCAATGTATGTGGACTAATGACTGCATATACTTCAAGTGTGCTGATGTCATCACCTACATTTTAGAGTTGATGATAGAGTTGATGAAAATGAGGAATGGAGAGGTGGAATAGCTTCCTCAGTATCAATACAGCTATGAAAAACTAGAGTTGAAATGTTTTTCTTCCAAACACATTTAAAGCATTTTGTCATTGTTGTTTTTGTGTTCAGACAGGGTCTGCGGCACAGGATGGTCTTTTGAACTCACTGTGTAGCCAAGACTGGTCTTGTTCTATGGACCCTCCTGTCTCCATCATCCAACTTCTGGGATTTTAGTTGCTGCCTTGCTTAGAAAAGCAATGCTCTAAAAACCACAAAACCTTTATTGATGGTGTGAATTACATATCTACCAACTCTCTTCCATAGCATATAGTAGTTGAAAATCTAAGGCTGTGTAGTGTGGCACATTATCAGCCCAAAGCCAGGAATAGCCAGGTATCTGCCTGTCTTGTTCAGATTGCTTTTCCTCTTTGACTCTTGGATTCATGAGTATGATGATGGGTGACAGGGTGCTGGAAAGCATAAAGAGCTCCCTCCTGATGAAAAACAACTCCCTCGGGAGTAAAACCTGCTGCAATGACTTTATGCTTGGAATTATTTAGAAGAAAAGAAAGCATGTTCTTTAAATGTATTTCTCAGCAAGCATATCAAAGAATGACCTTTGGATTACTTTTAATTTGTTCATAGAAAAATGGTTCCTTCCCTGTGTTAGCTTCTTATTGGAGATGGATCTTTTGTGGCTGCAGTTTCTAATAAGGGTATTTCTATGAAAGATCGGGCCACAGCCACATGGCACAGTCAGGAGCAGGTGTGTCGAGGGAGGGATGTTTGTTATTTTTCCTTCTGAAAGCTCTCTCATCTGTCACTTTGTTCCGATGCTAGAGGGAGAGGAGATACTTTTAATGAATAGTAGCCATGGCATTTCCTCGTGCAAAGATGCCACTTCCTTTTGATCTCGGTATTACTGGGAACAGCTTTGAATCATCAGCAATAGCAACAAATCTCAGCTACTTTATAGTACATAATGGTGACTCCCAAGTTCCTTCACAGAGACATGGATTTGTCCCCTTACTGCTGTTAGGAACTGCCTCACATGTGTTGCAAACATCCAGTGCTTTGCTTTTTGTTGTTGTTTGTTTGTTTGTTTCACAAAGTCCTTTAAGAATGTGATTATTCAGTGTTTTATTTTTCTATGTGGACACAGTAACATTCCTGTTACATTCTCATTGTCTTGCTTCCTCTTTTTTGCTCAGGTATAAGAATGCTGGACGGCATTGTAACTGATGCAATTGAGGCCAGTTCAATTGGCTTCAACCCTGGCCATGTAGATATTTACAGTGCAAGCTGGGGCCCTAATGATGACGGGAAAACTGTGGAGGGGCCTGGAAGACTGGCCCAGAAGGCATTTGAATATGGTGTCAAACAGGTGAGATGCTCAATAAGGACTCATATGAAACTATCACAAGAGGAAAAATCTTAGGTTAGAGGGAAAGATACAGGGGATGGGCGTTCAAGATTAAGAGCATTTCCATATTTGGGTTCAACATGGCACAGAGATTCATTACTTTTAAAATACTTGCATTTAAAATATTTCTTGGGGCTATGGAGATAGCTCATTTGAAAAAGTGATGGCTGTACAATGTGAAAACTTGGGTTTGTGCCCCAGCATCTGGGTATAAAGCCACAAATGACAGTGCATGTTTACTGCCAAGGCAGGAGAAGCAGGCAAAGATCCCTGAAGATCACTACCTGGCCAGCCTTTCATGAGGGAACATGCTTTAAACAAACAAGATGGACTTTTCTGAAAGCTAGGTAGATAGTGCCTCAAAAATGACAGTCAATATGGACCTCTGGCCTCCACACACATGCATGTACACCTACACAAATGCATGTATCTGGACATACACATATATGCGCTCACACATAAATACCTGCATCCATGTACATACGCACACAGAGACATGTATACACACGGCTTTTTGGACATCTTTCTCATTTTTCTTCAGCAGTTTCAATAGGTCATCCACAACCTAGACTTCTTGCAGTTGTTCAAGTTGCATTCTTGAAAGTAATAACACCCTGCCTTCCACATTACACACACCCCTGGAATCCCCTGGCCTGTCATCTTTCACTTGAGCTGACTGCATTATTGGACAGATTCTAAGACCTTGAACTATGCAGGACAAGACAAAAGTAGAAGCTTTGGAAAGCACCAATTGAAAAATCACAGGAAAAGTGGCCTTGACGAGTTTCATTCAATGCAGAGTCCTTTTGAATGCAGCTGCAAGGCAGATCTGAATAATGCCTGATTTCGTCATTCTATCAGTCAGCCAGACGATTCATTCGGAAATAGAGGAAGTTCAAAGATTCAAGTATAGTGACATAGCCAAGAGAAGAGTGAAAAGAATTCTAATCCAGTGCTAAAGGCCAGGTTATGAATCTACTAATAAAGAAGAAAGGAAAAGCTTTTCTGGACCCCACTGCACAGAGAGCCCTGACAACTAGAGACTGGCAGGAACAGTCTTGTCCTGGTCTGTAATATACAGTCTGACATTGACCCTGAACTTAACGACAGATTCCAAAGAGTTGTCTCTGGGGATGTGTATTTCCTGGTAGTTTTGGTGGAATTGCTGGTAACCAGAATAGATGATGATACATTGTTATGTGTTGTCTTTTCTTTTAGGGGAGACAAGGGAAAGGCTCCATCTTTGTTTGGGCTTCTGGGAATGGGGGTCGTCAGGGAGATAATTGTGACTGTGATGGCTACACAGATAGCATTTACACCATCTCTATCAGCAGTGCCTCCCAGCAAGGCTTGTCACCCTGGTATGCAGAGAAGTGTTCCTCCACACTGGCCACCTCCTACAGCAGCGGAGATTACACAGACCAGCGAATAGTAGGTTACAGGTTGCTTTTGTTTCTGTCTCTCTGCTGAGGTAGAGGAGCAGGGCTTTCAGAGCAACCCTTTCCCATGACCTTCGGTAGAACTGGTTTGCTTCAGCTTGATGTCTCTGTTTGGAAGACTTGTACTTGCTCACTTGAAAGAGTGGCATATATTGGGAAGTTTCTCTCCAGGGACAATGACACTTCTGCCAAGATGATCTTCCCTGTCGTTTTTCTTTTTAACTCAACTCAGAAAAGCCACAAAACCTGTCATTACATACAGTAAAAACTCCAAATGCCTTTCCTGTCTGTCTGATGTCTCTGTGGAAAGAGTCTAGAAGGAGATTTCAGAGTCATAGGGCTCATCACCCTGTGCTGTGGAAAGAGTCTAGAAGGAGATTTCAGAGTCATAGGGCTCATCACCCTGTGCTGTGGAAAGAGTCTAGAAGGAGATTTCAGAGTCATAGGGCTCATCACCCTGTGCTGTGGAAAGAGTCTAGAAGGAGATTTCAGAGTCATAGGGCTCATCACCCTGTGCTTGCTGACCCTCTAATAGCAGGGATACAGTCTGACTTGACCATTAGCAAATGATACAAGGATAGCCTGCACACCAGTGACATCTCTTAAGAACAGATGACCCACATGAAAAATAACAGTCTCACTTTTGCCTGGGGTGAACTCAGCCTTCAGGAAAGCAGCTCAGGGAGTTATATGCTTCAGTATGCTCCAGCCCACGCAAACCTGTGCCTCACTTCCGTGAGTCATGGACAATTATTGGATTTCCCTCCAAGGGCATAATGAAGAACTGTTTGGAGGCATTGAGAACAGAGATGGGCACTTTAAACTTAAACATTTAAAGCCTCAAATTTAACCATGGACATAGAATGCACTAAATAAAGCATGTAGATCCTATCCTCAATAAAGTAGCAGGTTAAGAACCAGTTAGTAATTCCTAGGTTCTGGGAGCTAATTACCCCTAACTCCAGTCTGTTATGATAGAGTGTTATACTTGCTGTCTTTTCTTTTAGGGGAGCTAAGGGAAGGACTCCATCTTTGTCAAATCTTCTGGGAATGGGGGTCCTGGCATATATGTACAGTTCCCACTAACAAGCAAAATTGTCTGGTTTGCACAAGATCAGTGTTCTATTGCTCTTATTCTGCACCTACTTAAGGCAAGAAAGCTGTGTCGTTTCCACGGAAAGGTGATGGCCTCCCTCTCATGCCATGTGTTCAGCTAGTTGAATAATAGACTGTGACATTCTACTCAAGGGTTCTGTATAGCAGACACACTTTATAGCTTTAGAAAGGGACATGTCAGATATCTGCCCATGGGTGTCAGAGCTCCTGACTGTTACTGTTCCTGGAGCATCCAGAGCTGGCTTGTGTTAAAAGTTTAAATGTTAAAAATTTCCTGTTAAGCATTGTGGAATTGCTATTGCGCAGACTTGCCCTCATCTGGAGCCCCACACACTGAAGCAGGCAAGAGACTTCTGCCTTTGTAGAGATTCGTCCTTAGGTAAAGCAGTCCTGAGACAGACAGATGGCAGATTTCATTTGAGACAGTTGCAATGATGCTTTTACTTATGTAATGCTTTTCCTCCACATAGTCATCTCTGGGGACCTATTTGCGTCAACAGGTATAAAGGGCATCTTGACTTCCGCAGCTCTCTGAGAAGTAGAGCCACCATAACTTGAGAAATCTGAGGATGCTAAGTGGAAAGCCAAAGGAGGTGATAATAGAACAAATTATTTTTTTACACCTCCCTCCCACACATTCAAGTCTCTAGGTAAAACTAAGACACTGAAGCCTGAGTGGGTGTCTGCTTAGTAATCATTTGGCCCCACTGCTTGTTCTGCCAGCAGACTGACTGAAAGTGGTTTGGGTATTTCTGCTTTATCTCAGTAACCTCTTTATTATCCTAAAGTTAGCCTGCTCACTTCTTGCATACAATAATATTGTTCACAAATACTTTCACAAGGCAGGCTGTCACTTATGTCTCAGGATGAGTCCGGAAATATAAATCTCATTCTGGTAATGTGAAGAACACATAATGTGACCATGGATCACATCTAGTACACAGCAGTTTTATAACCTGAACCAAGAGCTAAATGTGGGTTAGTTTTTAAATCTGACCATTCCCACATAAGGGCAGAAGACATGAGCTCATAGCTTTCCAATCAAGTTTACAGTTAATGCAAAATCTATTCTAAGTAAGTTCTGTTCAAAGAACTCTTATCAAGGTGTCATTATATCCCCGTGTTACAGTGGCAGACAGATGTCAATCTGAAGGCCAGAGGGAATGTTGTTTGAGTTAGGATTTCTAAATATGCCCGACCATGCACAAAGGACCTGATGATTAATGAGATGGCATGATTCACAGTGATTTAGAAACAGTTCCTTTTTTATAGACACATTTAGTTTGGGAATCTCAGAAGAGAAAATATTCATAGTGGGAGTACTTCATGCCCAGAATAGGCAACTTGCTGCCAGAATTATAGACAAGTTGCACATAGAGGAGAGTGACTAAAACAGCAGCAGATGGCAAACATCCGCTTGCTGGTGCTTGAGAGGAGGAAGTGGAGAGTGGAACCTTGAGCACAACAGATGCAGACCTTGGTCGGGCTACCCCTGCAATGCTCCTCATGTCTCTATCTTTTTCTCCTTCTTCCCAGACAAGCGCCGACCTGCACAATGACTGCACAGAGACCCACACAGGCACCTCAGCCTCTGCACCTCTGGCTGCTGGCATCTTCGCTCTGGCCTTGGAAGCAAAGTAAGGCCCCCAAATGTTGTCAGCTTGACTGGGACTGCTTCTCATACTCTTTTCTGAATATGTGATTATAGGAGAAATGCTGGACAACTGCAAAAATAGTAACAACAACATCTAACCAAATCCTGCCACTTTGAAATCATTGTTGACACCTCAATCTAGATTTAAGAAGCATACATCATATTGCAAATTATTTTCTAATATTTAAAAAAATCTATAATATATTAAAATATTGACTCATATCTCAGTCAATGTTCTTTGACTTTCTAAATTCATTTTTCACCTAGTTCTCCTCCTGCGCACCAAGCCTGTCCTATCAGAAAGAATTCCGTCCAAATCACTTCCTAGGAGTGACGCTGAAAGCAAATGTGCTTCTTCTCATTATAACCTTCATTCTGAGCTAATTTAACTAGATAAAATTTGATAATTAAAAACAAGACTTTATCTTTTCACACGGCTGCAGACTATAAATACAAATTTTGGTAAAACCATCCAATCATGTTTCTATAAATATTGGCATTTGTGATGTGTTCCTGGAAACAAGCACACAGACTTGGGAAATCTGAGCCAAAGAGAAGGTGTGTTTTAATGATTTTGATGCATATTGACAAATTGTTGCCTTGAAAGGCCATATCATGCTATATTCTCCCCAGCAGTGTATGTTTGAAAGTGCCAGTTTCTAAAATACTAACAGTGCTTACCTTTAATGTGTTTATTGTGTGAAGGAAATGGTGTCTTCTTTAATACTCGGCTCATTACTGACGTAGTTCAGAATTGGCTCATTACTGACGTAGTTCAGAAGTTTATGTCTTTTGGCCAGTTGCCCTCTGATACAGCCTCTTTATGTCCCTGGCTTTTATGACCTTGGTTACAAAGATCCATTAATACTTTATCAGTTTGGCCTTTATCTTCCGTTTTACTCATAGGTAACAGTGTAACAAGGCTAGTAAGTAATCAGCTATGTTTGCCAGTCTGTTTCTCTAGTGCTTCCTGCTTTAAAAATTCTCATAAACCAAAACTAGATTCAAATTATTTGTTTCCATTGCCTCTTCTTTGCCATGCTTAATTTCTAAATCCCTCTGGCCTTTATTTTAACATAAGATGTTAAAAATGGGCTTAGCAATGTTTTTACTTCACAGAAGTTATTCAACAGTCTAACAATTAACACAGATGCAAAGAAAAGTTATTCACCCCACACCTGCTTCCATAGCTCAGTTTTTCTTATCCCTGCAATTTAATATCAGGTGATGAGATGTTCACCAAGCCTCCCACATATTTGTAGACTACACTCATAAGAGCAAAACATGCTATCCTCTACACCACAAGGAAGAATTGGAAACTTTGTTGGAAACAGTCCAGAAGAGATGAGGGTGGAGTTTCTGGGTGTCAACAATGACACATCCTATCCAGCATAAACTCTCATTGGTGTTTTTAATTTTGCCATTCTGCCAGGAGTGAGATGATATCTCAGAGATGTTTTGATTTGGATTTCCCTGATGGCTAAGGATGTTGAGCACTTTCTTAACTTTCTTTCAGCCATTTTAGATTCCTCTATTGAGAATTCTCTGTTTAGTTCTGCAGCCCACTTTTTAATTGAATTATTTGGTGTTTTGGAGACTATGTATTTTGGAAATCAGTCCTCTGTCAGATGTGGGGTTGGTGAACATCTTTTCCCATTCTGTAGGCTGCCCTTTTGTTTTCTTGACTGTGTCCTTTGCCTTACAGAAGCTTCTCAGTTTCAGGAGGTCCCATTTATTAATTGTCAATCTCAGTGTCTGCGCTTACAATCATCTCATTCTTTAGAGGCAAGATCAAAAGAATCAGAACACTTTTAGTAAGGAAGAAAAACTCTCAGGAGAATCATTGGATCCTATCACACCTTTGGAGATAATCAGCAAACAGATGAACCTTAGGCTTGATTAAGGTCAAGAGAATCAGAAATAAGCTATCAATATTGCACAAAGTCTTCAAGGGAACAAACCTCCACAAAATTCATACAATTCTCTTTGAAAGTTCAAGTTAGAAAGTCTTCAATATTTGAACTCAAATAGGTGCAGTCAGAGACTGAACCACGTAAAGACTAAACCAGGTAACCCAAGAATTTTCACTGGTGATTTTGTACCCAGTCTTTTTAATCTGTATCTCTTCTAATTAAAGGAATGCTTAATTCAGTGTTTACTTCTGTAATTCTTATTTTCAATAACATCTCTAATTAGTAACACAATACAGTCTTGTCATTTTTAATTATTGCAGGTGCTGGTATGCACTAATTAACAAAGGAAGGCTGTCAGGAAGTGGGTCTACTGTTAGTAGCTCCTTTTCACTTATAAAATGTAAGCACACAACTGTGGAATAATTGTTAATAAACAAGACTTAATTTTCCTAATTGCCTAACAGTGAACTCCCTTAGATATTTCCCAAAAATTATATATAAAAAATACAATATTACTGCAAATAATGGCTCAGTCATGGAAATGTAAAAATGTATACCTTGATTGTGATCACCACACCACCATTTCTTATGCCCCTTAGTCTCCATCTTCATCCCCATTACACATACCTGCAAACAGTGATCAACCAAATGGGAAACTTGTCTATTGCCTATTGACCACCTTGATAGGAGGCTTTTACTTAAGACACCTTGTTTTAAAAACCGGAATGAAACAAGCATCTTAATAATGTACTTTAGGAACAGAAGTCATTGTTTGTACCTTGAAAGCACAGCCTTTCCTTCTCAACTGGCTAATGATTCCTAAATGTGTGAGGGCCACAAAACAATAGATATAGAGAGGTAATTCTAATGTTAAACTGACAGAAGTTTTGAGTTGTAAGGCATCCTAGAGATTGTCACATCCAACTTTCTCTTATGACAGATGAGATGACTCAGGCCCACAGAAATAAAGGAGTCAGACTGTGGTTGAACCATTCATTGGAGTTTCTGTTAGTTTTGGTGCAATACAAAACCAGATTGAATTTTAAAAATATAAATATCCTGCCCCACCTACATTGGTAGAGTTGGATATGTCTCAGAAGTTTTCATTATTTATAAGTGTACTAGGTGATTATGATACATGTGATCTGGAATTTGCTGGGAATCTCTAGACTGGAGTCCTTCTCAAGCCTCCACCAGGGGCTTTGGCATTTCACAATATATCCGGTAAGAATGCAGGTCAGCTGAGTGAAATGAATGGAACTCTCAGTTCCTGGGATAGCCCATTAAAGCAACAAGTCAAAATGAGAGCTAAGCCTTCAACTGCCCAGTGATAACAACCAGCATAGACATGGGGCTTGTCTCATTTCTGGGAGCCCAAATGACAGATATCAGCAGTTTTATGCATGTATGTACTATGCCTATAAATAATAACTGCTTAATAGAGGATAAAATGGGAAAGGTGCCTTTAGGGTTTCTACATCTTCTTCCATATGGAAATCTTGACAAAAGTACCTCAAGAAGACTTTGAAGCAAGTCTCCAACAGAGAGACTTGCTAATAAAGGAATTTGCCCTGGCAGGCCTGGGGCATGAGGGGGTGGGGTGGGGATGGGGTGGGTTGGCTGGGAATGTAGTTGGGGAAAGCTCAGAAGTGGTCTAGGAGCTAAAGACTTGACTGCAACTTCAAAGGCTGCAATACAATGGCTCTGGACCAGGGCTGGTTCAAACACAGGTAGCTTTGGCTAGAAGTCTCATCAGTGAAAGCATTCCTAATTCCCTATGGTCATGCCTTGGAGATCATACACAGGTCTTTAAACAGTAACCAGGGCATTGATTAATTCATCCATTATTGGCTCTGGGGAGAAAGAAGCAAATTGAGCCAGATTTCCATGATTCTGCAACCTCATGATAAGACAGAACCTTTGAAAAATTCAAATATTTATTAAATATTGCTTGATTTCACCAGAACGAAACAATGCAACTCACAAAACAATGAAATACTTAAGGACTTGAAACAGTATAATGACTAACAGCAGTAATCTTCAAATATATCAGAATATTTAATATTAATATTTAATAAGAAGGCAACTTCTTATTCACAAGTCTTATTTATATATACTCTTCTTTATTATTTTTATGATTTTCTCCTTTCCTTTTCTCCCTCAAAATCTTCCTATATACCCCATGCCCTCATTACTTTTTCAAATTCATGGTCTTTTAAAAAATTAATTGTTATTACATATGTATGTACACCTAAATATAACCTGCTCAGTCTGTACAATGTCACTTGTATGCATGTTTTCAAGGCAACTAATGCACTCTTTCCTGGAAAACTATTTTTCCCACACTCAGTATTCATTAGGTGCCTGTAGTTTTTTGTGTAGGATTGAGGCCTCACAGAGTTTCTTTAGTTCACTTTGACATGTCTATTGTATTTGTCCTTGTTTAGCTCATGTTAAGTAGTCATACCAGTGTGACTTCATGTGTGTAACTTAGATATTTTATTACATTCACTTGGCAGATGTAAGTGCACATTTATTTGACCCAGAGCACAAACATGTGGAGGTCAGAGGACACCTTGTAGGAGTTAGTTCTCTCTTCTTCCACCAAACAGACACTGGGGATAGCATTCCGATTAACAGGTGTGACATGAGGTGTCCCTATTTCCCTTATACTCTTGCATACTCTCGTGCCTGGCATTCCTCTGTGTGTTCACTAATCATCAGGGAAGGAGGTAATATGTTTTCACTCCTTGTGGCTAAATTCTGGCTAGAGAGGCAGAAAATAAGACACAAAACAAAGGAGTTGACCAGTGTGTAATAATATGGAGAAAAGAGAAACATCAGAGCAGGGGGTGAGCTCCAGGAGCCTGTTGTGGGGAGTTAGAAGCCTCAGTAAGGTAGTCAAGGAAGGCCTCAACCTATTGTGATACTTTGAGTCTCCAACTTACACATGTTGTTTTCAAATTAATTTTACTAAAACTTAACAGTTTACCATTTTCTTCAGCAAAAATCCAGAACAATTCCCACTGCCCAAATGGTAAATTCCAAGCTTCCTCTGGCATTCAGCACCTTCAGTTGTGGCTGAGCTCTTCCCTGCCCTGGCACACAGAGCTCTCTTCCCTGACCTGGCACACAGACTGTAATGTGGTCAAGCTGTCTTCCCACATCAGGCTGCTGCTGCTCGACGAACCCTTGAAAATTCACCTCATATATATCTTCCCAGAAAAGGCATTCTCCAGGCTTTCACATTCATTAAGTTATAAATGCAACATCCAACATACATAGTTATACAAAAGGTTTTTTAACTGTACCGCAAATTTCTTAAAAACCAGAACCACCTCCTTGAATATTCTAATAATATTTAGCATAATAACTTTCAAGAGTAATATCATGAAGTCCAGAATTTCTTGTCATTCCTCAATATCTGCCAAGAATCAGGCTTTACAAAGTTCAAGTCTCTTGTATGAAATGGTATTTCAATTGTAAACAACATATGCTCATCTCATATATTTTAAGTAATTTCCAAATTACTTATAATACCCAATAAAATGTAAATCCTATGTTATACTACACTTTTAAAGGAATGCTAACAAGGGAAATTGTTATACATATCAGTACAAATGAAAAGATTTTCTTTTTAAATATTTTTTATCTATGTTTGGTTGAATCCTAAGTATGTGGAACCCAGGAATATGGAGCTCTGACTACATTTGAAAAAAAAAAAAAGACAAGGAGCGTTGAGTATGTTTCGAGCCTCTGTGTTTCAAATTTGATTCTTCCTATGACAAAAGCAAGGCTTAAGGTGATAAGGCATTTCAAGAACAGAACTAGTGACACAAAGAAAGTCTTATATTATTATTATGTAAATAAAATTAAATTAAAAATGAAAATAATCCATGACTCCTCCTCATACCACCAAGGGTTGTGCAGATACCCAGGGTCTGGTCAGCCATCTGAAATTATGATAGTGTCCAAGAGCCATGTTGCCATCAGGGTCATACTGATCTGGGTGGCCTTTGCTGCCACAGGGCCATGGTAACATCCAGGCCAAGGGCTTTGCAGGTCTGTGGTCCTGCTACAGCAGCGTCTGTGTTGAGTTCCATGGCCCATGTCACCGCAGCGGGTCATAGGAGCCACGAGTGCTGAAACCTGAGGACAGTGCTGAGCTAGAACCATCATTTGCTAGCTCTGGAAGATCTGGCCCTGCCCTTCCCTGGCCACTTTAGTTGAAGGGCTGGCCCCACCCCTCACTGGAGAGCCAGCCACCCCTCACCACAGGTGTGGGAGAGCTGGCCTGCATCGCAGAGCCTAAGAGAGCTGGCTCTGTCCCTCATCTAAAGAGGATGATCCCAGTGCCCCAGACCAACCAAGTTAGTTACCACCCAGACCCACATCCAGGACTTTAACCTGGCCAACCCCAACATGAACCCCATAAATGACCTGCAAGGGTGTGAAGGCACTGATCCTGCAAAAACAATAGCCACAAGATCTCCATGACTCAGGGCAACAGGAGGATAGCTGAGTGAACTTTCAGTGAGGGTCCAGTGATGATGGTGTGACAGAGGCCTTGAACCAGACCAACAACTTGTTGCAATGAACAGTGAAGCTGAGTGGGCAGTAGGGTGCACTGCATGGCATGGCACACCACAGCTCCCAACGACACTCAGACGAACGGAGAGGTGGGGAAAATGGGATGAAGTGGAGCTTTTGTTTGTTTGTTCATTTCGTGTTATTCTAAATTAATACGATTTTAAATTGTTGGGGGAATGCTACAGGGGTGACAGAAAGATATAGAGGGACTGAGAAATGAGCAGAATTGGGGGTACAGAATGTGAAATTCCCAAAGAATCAATAAAAATTATGTAAAAACAACCTCCCAAAAATTGGCTTTAGATAAATATAAATAACTAGAGTTGGGAACAAAAGTTCACACCTCAACAATGCTTGAGATAGAATTTTACTGGTAGTAAATATTTAACTTGTATGCTATAGATGATAACTTTTAGTACTGTTTTGTAAGTTCTAAATAAAATAACTTAACAATAAGTAATAGAATATATATTTACAAAAGGCACTTAATAATCCCTAAAAGGAGATGCTTATTTTTAGCACTTGATTTTATAAGAATATTTCATTTTGTTCCTAAAAGATACTTTGGGTCACTTTCTCTCTAGCCCAAATCTCACTTGGCGTGATATGCAGCATCTGGTTGTCTGGACCTCTGAGTATGATCCACTGGCTAATAACCCAGGTTGGAAAAAGAATGGTGCAGGCTTAATGGTGAACAGTCGATTTGGATTTGGTTTGCTAAATGCCAAAGCTCTGGTCGATCTGGCTGACCCTAGGACCTGGAGAACTGTGCCTGAGAAGAAAGAATGCGTTGTAAAAGACAATAACTTTGAGCCTCGGTAAGTATCTCTAAGACAGTCTTATTAAATTGTTATCACTTAAGTTTTTCTCATACCCTTGGTCTTATGACATAGATGAGGATGGAACTTGACAGTGTTCACTCTGTCTGTATCCTTATGGGGAGTCATGGAAAACCAAAGGTATGCTAGTCAGGTTAACGTATTTGTGTTTTCTTCTTGAAGACCACCTACCAAGTAGCATTAAGCTTCAGAGGTATAACTGTTTTATATAACACTAAGACAAAACATTCTCAAACCAAGACCAATCAACAATTAGTTTTGAGATCTTTTCTCAAAAAGAAGCTTGTTTTAAAATGCATTTTAGCATTGATGAAATCCAATACTTGCCACTAGTATTCTCTAAAGGGTCTTTTCAAAGTAGCCCTACTTCATACTGCAGTTCTGTGTGATGGATGGATTTTCTTCCATGTAGGGCCCATCATGGATTACCTCTGACTCATGTGTGGTCATGAAAGCAGATCTATGACTGCTACATTGCTTTTTATCAAGGTGACCATAATGATAATGAAAAAACCACTCACACGAAGTTTCAGAGCCTAGAAAACCTGGGGGCATTCCTCAGGAAGGCCCTATAAACACAATTATATTTTTATGAGAATCTTATTGACATCTTTGTCATGGACCACGTTTGTTGGATTGAAGACAAACCTGCCAGAATTTGATTGTACATCGATGGCATTGTGTGTGTGTGTGTGTGTGTGTGTGTGTGTGTGTGTGTGCGCGCGCATGTGCGTGTGTGTATGTTTCTTACCATTTTCTTATGCATTAAATTCATTTATAGATAATTCTGAACTGAACTCTAATTCAGATAGTTATATAATGATAATAAGCCTTGCTGACTATCTTGTCAAGATATGCATGCACCTGTGGGACTGTCTCAAACAAACAGAGGGAAGCCAGGGAGCCAGAGGAGACACATTTTCTTTTATATGCTTCTCTAATGTATGTAGAGCCCTCAAAGCTAATGGAGAAGTGACTGTTGAAATCCCAACAAGAGCTTGTGAAGGACAAGAAAACGCTATCAAGTCCCTGGAACATGTGCAATTTGAAGCAACAATTGAATATTCTCGTAGAGGAGACCTTCATGTCACACTCACTTCTGCCGCTGGTAAACTTCAACAACCAAGCAATTGTTGTAGAACTAAGTCTCCTCATAGGCATTGACAGTTCTGTAAAACGTGGTATTTTTGTTGACAATAGAGTTCTTCTCCCTGGTCATTTATCACTGGACCCTAGAGAGACAAAGGGAGTGGCCTGCTCAAGTATGCTAATTAATAAGCTTTTCTAAAATTACCTGCTTTCAAACTATGTGCATTTCCCCACATTAAAGACTGAGCATTCTCTTCTCTTGGTGGCAGTGATTTTTTTAAATCAAGACTTACAGGTATGTCTGAATCATTGAAAAATCAGAATTGTGACCCATAAAATTGAGAATAGTGACTAAATATTCACAGTGATATGAATAAGAATATATGATAATATAAACTTTACCTTATTCCTGAGAGAGTCCTAGTGATGAGTTAAGGACTGTTGAGCAATAAACCACAATCCAACCAAAAGTTGTCCCTCTATATTTATGTGGGTGGAGCTGTGAGACAGGCAGCCGGCAAAGATTCCTACTGCTAAGCCTAATGGCCTGAGTGCCATCCCTGAAACCCATGTGATAGAAGGAGAGAACTGACTCCTACGAGTTGTCCTCTGAACGCCACGCATGTGCCATGGCTCACAGACCTGGCCAATTCTACGATCTTTATAGCATGTGAAGTCTTAGAACTTGGGAGTAAGCTCTATTGAGAGTTATACTTTCTAGATGCCTTGGAGTTTGCCTGAAATACTACTAAGAGTCATACACCATCCCATTGACAGGCTGTAGTTCACTTAATCTCACCTTGAATTTCCAGTTTCTAGATGCTAGAGTGAATCCTATGATCAGTCTGTCAGGTTAGGATATTCACTGACTTATGTTTGTTGTATGAAACTAGGAACAAGCACCGTACTGTTGGCTGAAAGGGAGCGGGATGCATCCCCCAATGGCTTTAAGAATTGGGACTTCATGTCTGTTCACACATGGGGAGAGAATCCTGTAGGCACCTGGATATTGAAAATTACAGACATGGTAAGTATGATTCAGAAGAAACCAAGCTCATTTACAAATACTTTGAAAATGTTGATGTTCAAGTATGTTAAAATGTTAATGACATCATTAGTTAAGTCCAACTCAAAACTACCTCCAGGGTTCAGGTCAGAGACCACAGCATAGTGAAGAGAACTTAGAAAATTTCTAATCTGAGGAGTTACAGAATAACTCACCCATGTCATGATCTTTGTTCTTCTCTTGGCTCTAATTCTCCCTCTGCAGCTTCTAATTCTCCTTTGTTTCAGTTCTTGCTAGCTTCTTGCTCATCTAGCCTAAATACAGTTTTTATAGGAGGCTTGAAGCAGTACTAAAAAAATTACAAGAGTTACATGAAGCACATTCCTTTGGCTGAGTGATAATTGCAGAGTCCTTTACCATTGCAATGCAAAGTTTCAAGGTTCCTGGTTTAAGACCGTGATGCACTGCCTAGTGAGACATGGGTCTTTTATCAGCAAGACTTGGCAAGTCAAGAATTGGAATTTTTTAGGCTGCTTTGTGTTAATAGCCTGGGTTAGACACCTGCAACTCTGACCTTGGGCATAACTGTAAAGTTTTAAACTTATGATCTATTTACAAAAAAACTTTAGTCTGCTTAGAACTTGCTCTGAGGTAAAAATGAACTAATTGTGTGCAGTGGTGTCTTAGACTGAGGAGAAATTATGTTTTTGTGTTAGTCTGAGTAAAAGGAACAAAGAAGGCTTTTAAGTGTCTTAGTGGGACAATAGATCTAGTTATGAAGTATATTCTAGTATATTTTCTATATATCAGAATCATACAGTTAATGATAAGTCATCTTCCTGATTATCCACAGATACATGTGTCCATAAGATTGAGATATAATCATGAGATTACATATATACATCATGTGAGATTACACACTACAATGCTAGGATTGGGGAGACAACAGAGCTGCTTTTGCACATGTGAAACTACGGACAAGAGCAACAGTTTCTGAAGTCAATGCTTCTACAGGCCTTGCCAGCATGGGATTCTGTTCCAACAGGGAGCCACTCTTCTGCTGGGTTGATATCTGAACACTAGTTATCACCTGCTGTATACTTCCACAGCCCTTGACACTCCTAAAGAACTTGACCTGTTCACTTCCTAGAAGAAGAAAGATAAAAGTACAGGGCTACTCTACCCTCTTAGTTATATAGACAATAATCATAAAAAACTACTATACTCAGACATGCTGTAAGGGAGGAGAAAAGGTATACAGCTAAACATGTGACCTGTGATCTTTAGAATCACTCATGATCACAGAGACAGCCAGGTGTGAGGGTACATTTGCTATGGTACCTTGCTGGAGTCAAAGACAGCACCCTTACAGCTCTTCTGCTACTCTCATTAAGTAGATGCTTCCTGTTTCAGGTTAAGCAAGACATTTTAGTTGATGTCTTTCTTCTACTTTTACTAACAAAAAAACGCACTAAAATTTTCAAAAATTTTTATTTTGAAAGCTCAAATAATACTCAAAAACATAAGAATTTTAGAGCATCGCAGACTTTCTTTGTAGAATTGGGAAGCTCAGCTAGTAAACCCTGCATAAACACTTTAAGACCAGAAAGATTTGGAAATCTGAAATACTTCTGGCTCCCAGAATTTTGCATAATAGATCTGTGCTAACGCTCTCTGACATGCTTTAAAGTACACAGGATGATGTGGCAGGGCGGTATCTGGCTGAAATGAAACAGCTGAGTTCTTTATTCCTGGACCACTCCTCTGCTTCCTCTGAAGGTCAGATGTAAATGAATGATTCCATCTTTGAGTTCTGAGAGAAAAGTGTAAGGACCAGCAGTGCAGAGCTCGTAGCCTGGATAATTTTCAAAGATAAATCACTTTAATCTTCTAAAGATGCCAATTAATGTGAATTATATATTTTCTACCTTTTCTCTGAGAATAGCTTTCTTCTACAGATCTTTGAAGTAGGACCAGCAAGATGTCTCAGTAGTTAAAGACAGTTGCCATCAAGATTATTCTGAGTCTTTGAGTTTGATCCCTGGACATAACATTGTTAAAGGAGAGAATCAGCTCATACAAATTTTCTGTGATCTCCATACATATGCTTTGTCACACTGTGAATGCTCGTACACATACACAGAGTCAGTCAATCATATTTTAGAAAATGAAGACTGTAGTAAGTTCTATTCTGATAGGAAGAGAGTAGTGCTATTCTTGAACTTGTCCTCAGTCCTTAAAAAGAAAGCTATTGTATGTGTATGGGTGTGCTGCCTGCCTGTGTATATGTACATGTGTATACCACATTCATGTCTTGTACATCAGGAAACCAGGAGAGGACGTTAGGTCTCCAGAATTGGAGTTACAGAGGGTTGTGAACTGCCATGTGAGTGCTGAGAACTGAACCTGGATCCTCTGGAGGAGAAGCCCATGCTCTTAACCACTGAGTCACCTTTCCAGCCCCTCCTCACTCAATTCCTTGGCTCAGTTTCAGCTTTGGGGAACTAAATGACTCTGCTTACCAAGAAGGATCCACTTCATGTCAAGTCTATACATTCTGACTGAACAGTTTTAAATATTTGACTCATAGATGTTTCAGAGACAATCAGCTTTTCAATGTGACAAAATGCATTTACACAGGGAACTTTGCTTTTAAAACTAGATATTTGAGTGTGAGGTAATAAATCAGTTTTTTTAAATGTTAGATAGTATCAGTTTTTATAACAGGGGTGAATCCAGTGGTTCCTTTCAAAATAGATCTTTGAATGTGAAATACACATTCAAAATTAGATTTTTAACTATGAGATTCTTTTGGCAATTTTAATTGAGTTTATTTTCTATTTGAAGCACAAACTAAAAGACACACATGCTTGATTTTGCCAGTCTGGAAGAATGCAGAACGAAGGCAGGATTGTGAACTGGAAGCTGATTTTTCACGGAACATCTTCTCAGCCAGAGCACATGAAGCAGCCCCGTGTGTACACATCTTACAACACTGTCCAGAATGACAGGAGAGGAGTGGAGAAGATGGTGAATGTCGTGGAGGTCTGTGTAGTTCTGTTCTTGGCATGTTCTCCCTTGAACAATAGTAAACAATGAGTGAGTGAAGACGCATTTAATTTTAAGACAGAAAGAATTTGTGTATGCATAGAGAGAAAGGGCTTGGGAGAGAAAAACTTTTTTTTCAACGGAATGAATCCTTGTTTTCCTTTTTTCTTAAATCTAGAGTTTATTAGTTAAAGTTAGTGAACATAAAATTAAATTATATAACATGAATTGTACTCATGTATGACAGCATATTGCAAATCAAGCTGTGTTTTACATGGTTAAAAATACTACACCTATTATAATATATTGTGTAATATTATGTTGTGGTACAATTATTCAATCTTAGCTGGATGATGGTTATGCACACCTTTAATCCCAGGACTCAGAAGGCAAAGGCAGGTGAATATCTGAGTTCAAACACAGCCTACTCGACAGAACAAGTTCCAGAATGGCCAGGGCTACACAGAGAAACCCTATCTTGAAAAATGAAGATGTAAATTTTAAAAAAGAATGTTAAATCTTATTTGATTTTAACTGTAATCTGTGTAACCTACACAGAAATATCAAAAGAAAGAAAACCAAGGTTAGGGAGTCAAATCATGTAAGCTTCTCTTTGCTGATTTCTCTTTAGTAGTTGGCGCTTAGATGACTTTGTCATCATTAAGAAGAGTTATGAAATCACAATTTCTCTCAGAAAATTTTAAAGAGTAGCCAGTGTTAACCTGGCTTCAGGCTTTGCCCTTTTTAGAAACCATGAAGAACCTGCATCTGTTTCCCTACATGACCAGCATCTAACATAGTGTCTCTGCTGCAGGAAGGGTTGTAGGATCTCTGGAATGTGCTGTCCTAAATAGAAGGCCTCTCTTCTGGATGTTTTAGAAGGTTTCGAGGCATGACCTTTACATGAGGAACTTGTGGACTAACTTTGAGGAAGCCTCAGCTGGGGTTCTGGCCCTGTTTGTATTCTAATAAGCAGAGTCCAAGAGCAATTTATCCATAGCAACTGAGGAGAGTTCACACGGAGAGTGTTTCTCCAAGATTCCTTTCAAAGTATGAACAGGATTTTTCTGTGTTAAAATGTTGAAATGTGATCAGCCCTTCATAGGGTGGGTTCTAAATTCTTGTCGTCAACCATGTATGGATCAAAAATCTTTGAACCAACTGCCTCTGTACTGAACATGTATAGACATTCCTGTATCATTCCCTTCAATAATGCAGTCTAGCAAGTCTTTGCATTGTATTAAGTATTACAAATGATCTAGAGATGATGGTGTATTCTGGAGGATGTGTGTAGGCTATTTACCAATACCTTCCATTCTATGCAAAGGACTTGAACATCCATCGATTTTGGTACCGTGGAAAGTCCTAGAGAACAACTGTATTTACATAATGGTTGACACAGAGCCTCTTCTTAGATCTCCCAGTTCCTGCTCCATGCCCTCTCCACCCAAGGACCTTCTCAGAATCCTATAGCTTCTAACAGGAGTGAGGGCCCTCTAGTCAGCTGCATTTGCACGCAGCAACCAACTGATGCCTTACAAGCAAATTGTTAAATATTTAATATCATTTCCCCAAATGGATTAGATTGCAGCAGGCTTGAAAGTGAAGGAAAACAGCATATTAAATACATACTTGTATAATAGTCTCAATCTCCAAAACCACCAGACATGGAAGCATTCTGATTTCTACTTTATGGCTAGAATTCTGCAAGATGGAAAAAGCTGCCAAAGGTGAACCAGTAAAGGGGAAAATAAGGGTTGAAATACAAACCAATGTAACTCGAAGCCTTGTGTTCTCTCTACTCTCCAAATTGCTTCTCAAGTGACATGTGGGCTTATGTTAGAGCTGCAGCTCTCTTTCCTGCCTGTAAATAATGAGCTTTTTCCCTTTGTTGATGGCATTTTATATTTCAGGAGCAGCCCACACAAAAGAGCCTGAATGACAATCTCCTGGTACCCCAAAGCTCCAGCAGCAGCGGTGTTGAGGGCAGAAGGGAGAAACTGGCACAAGGTGCTCCTTCAGAGGCTGTGCTACGGCTCCTACAAAGTGCTTTCAGCAAAAACCCACCTTCAAAGCAATCACCAAAGAAGTCTCCAGGTACAAAGATCAGCATCCCTTATGAGAGTTTCTATGAAGCCTTGGAAAAGCTAAACAAACCCTCCCAGCTTGAAGACGCTGAGGACAGTCTGTACAACGACTATGTTGATGTTTTCTATAACACAAAACCTTATAAGCATAGAGACGACAGGCTACTGCAAGCTCTTGTGAACATTCTGAATGAGGAAAATTAATAAGGGCGTGTCCCCAAGCATCCTCTTTCCCCTTAAATGTCCCTGGGTGTGAGTGTGTCACTGATTCCTATGCTTATAATGTCCTTTGTGGTACTTTTGCATTTTCTCCTCAAATTGTACCTTGGGGTGGGTTCCAAAAGGAAAGCCAACTTTCTGAATGGATCTCAGTGTTTAACAATGTCTTCCCTGACATATGAGTAAAGCAGGTCTTTGTATAGTCACAGTTGACATGCAGCCCTTTACCCAATGGGATGGCTCCTTCATCCTCCCCATTTCATATCTCGAAAGAACAGGAACAGATTAAGACGTGCATTTTAATTTGGAAAAGTCGTCCACCAAGGTGAGGGTCTACAGCTGATCTTGCTCCCTATTTTTTCAATGGGGTTCTTTGAAAATGAAAGCTCACAAGTAGGTCCATGCCTTAGGCCTCTCTACACCACGTGCTGCTCATGCTGATGGTCTGATGGTTTTCGGGGGGACAGAATAAAATGCATTATTTAGATCCAAAAACAGATATTAAATTTTATATTATCTTGGATAGTTACAGAACATTCTTCTTGGCTGGCGCACCATGAAGAGCTCTCTGCGTGTCCAAAGATGGCTGTGACTCCTACTGTCTGTGGCCTGGCCTCCTGTTTCCCTTTCTGCCTCACACGCCATATGTTTCTTTTCTGAGCCACATGCTCAGGACTCAAAGAACTAATCCAAGCCATTTTCTCAGAACAAAATTATGCTTGACGTTGGCAAATTCCTAATCATAGTTTTGTTTAATAACAAGCAGCCACTCAATAGATAGAGAACCAATGTAATAACAGAGAAAACGTTGATTGAAGGGGGAAAGCAATGAGACATTTCTAACAAGTTGTGTTCTTAGGACAGGCTCTTCTAGTTCTCTGTAAATGAGTATTCATTTCTGAACATCATAGGGTCTTCTCCAATCTCAGTGGACAGTATTCAAGTTCTTACCAAATTGCTTCCATGCTTCTAATCAGAAAACAGATGGGCAGCACGTAGGTCTTATTTGTCCAACCTATAAGTTATGAAGAATGTTTTGAAAACATGAAGGGCTGTTCAAAGTGTGAGATTTCACATAAAAGCTGATTTTCATACCCATCTTCCATCATGGCAATAGCTGGCTGGAGATAACACCTCCCTAGTAAGATTCTGAGTCTGGGCTTTCCTGGCTGGCGGCCTCTTTTTTTTTTACTACTCAGTATCGCTATGGACATTTATCCTTTTTAAATTAAAGTGTGTTAGTTGTAGAAAATAAGGTTTCATTTTGACATTCTCCTACAAGTATTTCATGTACTTGGACAATGTCCACCCCCTACTAATCTGTATTCTGCCTATCTCCACTTGTCCCCCTCCTCTTCACAAGTGCTTCTGCTTCCAATTCCTGTCTTTTCATTTCATCCAGACTCCACATATTAAAAAATGTGATTTTTGTCTTTCTGTGCATGTGATTTTGCCCACTCCCACACTAAATGAATCTGTATAAAGTGTAAATGTATTAGGAAAAAGATTTCCCACAATTACTTCCAGGCAGGCTCTGCCTTTAATAATTGAGTTTGCTATGACCTAGTTATTTTGTTGTATTTATAAATAAAAAGAGTACTTGGAGCCCTAAATATACCTCTGAAGTTTGGTTTAATATGAGCATTTAATCTTATCACACCTGGATGTTCATTGTACTGTTCATTAACTGGAGACCCCTGCTTCCTTATCTTAACATGCCAATATAGGTTCTAGTTGACTATATGCCTGCATTCTCCAACTGAGTTTCTGTTTGTAAATTTTCTACAGTCTGAGCACTGAGCATCCTACAACAACTCCTAGCATTGGACTAGTTCAGAAAAACAGTTCATTTGCTTTTGCTTTGAGTGTAGTTAGTATGATGAATTTCACCTCCTGTTTCTTCGTGATTTTGTACATACGAGGCTCTCTGCAGAGCCTTGCCCGTGATGCCTAGAAGATTTGCAGTAGTCATGTCCCTGAAGGTTTTACACTGTGTTTGATGTAAGTTTTAATGGAATTTTCACTATTGTAGCACATTAAAACAGAAAAGCACTTTAGAGTTTTACATTAAATTTCAACTAACTAAAAATGTCCTGGAGGATGACATCACTAATTGACAGTGATTTAAAACAATGAAAGAGTTAGAGGTCAACCCCTTCCTTTCCTAGCCCTTATACTAAACATAGGGAACTTTTCTTCAATGCTTTCTAATAGTGTCTTTTCCCTGTAAGAACCCCAACCAGCTCATGGGCTACAGCCAAAGGTTTACTCTGGATAAGCTTTAATATTTAGACAACACCATGTTTGAATGTTTCCAAGCTGGAGTATATATTGTCTAGACATAAAATATTTTTGTCAGTCTTTCTTAGTGCCTATGTGGATTTTGTGAAAATGTTAAAAATGATAATTATATAATATGTCCCTTGGAATTTTAAGCTATATTTTCTTTACAGGTATTTATAATGTACCACTGCTTTTATCAAACAATTTTAAAAGCATAATAAATTATATTAAAGAATCAAAAGCTTTCATGAGAATAATAATGTTTCATCCAATAAAATATTTTGAAAGGCATGTCCCTTTGTGAATGGAAAAGTATATATATATATATATATATATATGCCTGTGTTTGTATGTATGTATAAAAGTATATGTATATATGTATGTATGTATGTGTTGTGATACTAAAAGTTATGTTTATCTAATATCCTAATGCAATGTACAACTGAGTCTAACATGATCTTAGAATTCTTAATGGAGCTCTTACATTACACACTTGATGTATTAATCAGAATACATAAAATATACTTATAAATAAGAAGAATAAATTCCTCACCAAGTCAAAAAGGAAAAGCTCATGTTTCCAGCAAAAATAGGTTCTCTCTTTTTCCTAATGTGTTTCCAAATGGACTTTAGAAAAGCAAGAGGTTTACATTAAAACATTGATTAACTCATTTTTAAGATGCCAGACTTTCCTAGAAGCAAATTAAGTACTTACTTGAACAGGCACATTTCATTTTCCTACCCAACCCAGGTATTCAAGTTCACTACAACACAAAAACGCTGTGTGACTGAGCCTTAGCTGAGGTGTTGAGGAGGAGAAAAGGCAGGTGAAGCTGAGCAGACTCACTGCCTCAGAGAAATATTTTCTGACAATTCAGTTTATACACCAAAATAAAGCAGCCAAGCTGTGGCCCCTTCTTCTAAGATGTCCCTTGATCAAGCCTCCAGTTTCCATCCTCAGGACACATCCCTTGAAACTCTACAGCTCAGAAATAGACCCTTTAGTCCCTGAAGATGGGTTTTCCCTGACAACCAACTTCCCTTTCCTAAGAGATTAGTCATTTAAAGTAAAATAACACCTCAAGTATTCCAGAGGGATTGTTTAAACAGGGCTCGTTCCTCCTGGCAGAAACATTGTGAGCCCCTGTGTTAAACACCATCCACTGCATAAAGACATTTCTCTGATGACAGCTAAGAGCTGCACTGCATACAGGTAGAGAAATATGAATTTAAAGGTACTATTATGTTTATTCAACAAAACAAAAGTAGTAGATTTACTCCTAAGGCTAGGAGTTCATGGGTGAAGTGGTCCTGTCATGTCCAGCAGACACTGTTTCATTCTAGTCTACTATGACAACTGACTCTTATGCTTTTTCTAAACCCTCTTCCATAATGGCTCTGAATCTTGGCAGGAGGTATGATACAATTGCTTCATTTGTGGCTTCCGGATCATGGTTCTTAACTGTATTTGCAGTGCCGCATATTAACATTTTCTCCTGTGAAGCAGCTTAATCCAATTGCAAAGTGATTGGTTACACTCATAACATTTGGGAAAACTATTATACCCAAAGGGATATTTTCTAATTCTAAGTGATGATTTAGTTTTATAAACTTTTCAAATAATGTATGAACACATAATTACAATATAAAATTTAAGCATAGAAGTATTACAATACAAACTGATGGTTCATTAGACAGATACACCCCTGCCTCAGTCCAAGGCACTTCCAAGCTATAACTAGCAATTTAAGAAAAGTTTCTCTATAATAAGCATTGCAATATAATTAAAATATGCAAAATTCTGTGTAAAAATGAAATGAGATATATAAATATGGTCCTTACTTTTTAGAAACTTATTAGCCATTATTTTAGATTCCTATCAACTGATGAAAGAATAGAGAAAGCATTGTACTTATAGACAATTGGATATTAATAAGTTGAAATGAAAACTGAAATCTTGAAATGTTCAGATGGGTAAGAATGGAACTGAAAAAAATTTTTTTTCTGATTAGGGTCACTCAGGCTTGTGAGACAAATGCCTTGTGTTCTTTCTCATATGAGAGTTTTGGCCTCAAATGTTTTGTTTTGTGTATTTAAAATTAAAATGGAATACACAGAGAAGGTAAGAAACTAAAAATAAGTACTGACAGAGTGATGCATTTGATGTGATAGGAGATAGTAAAATACAGATGAAACAATTTATGATTATTTATGATTTGACAAAGCTTGCCTGGGGATCAGAATGCAAAGCCAGCTACACTAGCTAGCCACAGAAGCTGAGCAGTGGTGGCACACAACTTTAATCCCAAAACTCAGGAGACAGAGGCAGATGGATCTCTCTGAGCTCAAGGCCACCCAGGGCTCCACCATAGTGATTCAGTCTAAAAGAGAAACAGAGCTCACGCCTTCAATCCCAGCACTAGAGAGGTATATATGGAACTCAGTGCAGTCTCAGAGAGCAGTCTAAGATTCTGAGGCTTCTTGGAGAGCAATCTGAGGTTGAGTGGATCGCCCCTTCCATCTGAGCATTGGTAGAGATGACAACTCTGTAGTGGCTGGCTGCTTTGCTTTTCTGATCTTCAGCTTGAATCCCTGTATCTGTCTCTGGGTTTTTATTGTTTGTGCTGCAGAGACCAGGACTATGGGGCAGGTATTGGTGTAACAGTGCTGTGAAATTGAAGGACTAGGTGAAGGCTTAAATAAATAAAATACTGGAGTTGAAGACAGGGCTCAGTGGTTTAGAGTGTTTTCTGTTGCAGCAGAGGACCAGAATTTGATCTAGCACATCAGGCAGTTCACAAATCCCCAAGGAATCTGATGTCCCTTATGTCTTCAAAGGGTACCTACCACATATGTGTGAACACATATACAAATGACATAAAACTAACCTTTAGAAAAATAAAGTGCACATGAAGAAGTTATTTTGGGAATGTGTTCTGCAAACCAAGTGAAAAAATAATAAAATAGATATATGTGTTATGGAAAACATGACAGAATTCTGGGAGCTAAAGGTTTAACCAGGGATGGAGACAGAGGATGGGGAACAGATTGATAAGGGGGAAATTAATTCAAACTAAGTATGCATTAAGAAGCCTTATGAAACCCCACAAGTTTGTAAGCTAAACAAAATTATGAAATTTTACAAAATAATTTCAGTAGAGTTACTCCACACTAATGAACTATGATATTCCCAGAAGACCTGGGTCATTAAAAGAAAATCTCAGAGCAAGGCATGGATCACCTCCCTTTGAGTTATTTCTCCAAGAGGCCCCCAGAGACATCCAAAACAATATAGACTATTGATATTGCTCTTAGTTTCCCACCATGACTAGATCATAAGACCCTATTTCTCAGGACACCATACGGTTTGGTTGCATATTACAGAGAATTTAACGTTTAACTGACCAGAAAACTTCCCTGTTGGGTCAAGCGTACTGGGGAAGAAAAGACATTAATGGTCTTATCCAGTGGTGGACTTTATATGTTTCACTATGGAACTGCCAAGAAATGTGCAGCAAGACTGCTTACAGGGTAACAGCCTACTATCTTGGCTGTATTTAAGGCATACTCCACGGGGGAATCAACTTTTCATACAACAAATAAGGACAAAACCCACAGCTAGGAAGGTCATAAGCCTTAAGAGTGTAATTACTGATTTTGTTCCTATAAATGATTGTATTAAACTGCCTTCTAAATGCTTATGTTTACATGCATAAATTTGTTCTGCTACTAACCTCAGTCAGAGAAGTGCTTAGTTGTGCTGAATAGTGGCTAATGAGAGGTATGTTAAGTGTTCACAGTGCTGAAAAGAATTGACTATGAATGCTCAGTCACAAATGGAGCACCTATATCAACTCCCTTTTCTGAAGGCAGGAAGAGCATCGTGGAGCAGGGGGTGGCAAGGATGAGCCAGAGGATAGGGAAGTGCCTTCCCTGGACATGTCACATTTGCTGAACATATGCACTCACAACAGACATGGTTACTGAGACAAGATCCGTACAAGATCAAGCCAGCTAAAAGCACCAGCATGGATTGGGGAGAGTGTGCAAAAGACCCAGCCGTAGCTGAAGAGCTATTGGAAATGATGGCTGCTTGAGAAGGAAGTTACCTTTCTGTGCCAATAGGACCACTGGTAGGCTTCCCATGCTTCCACTGATGACCTCACATCCATGCACTTGTGGGTAGCACTAACTAGACTCAGAGGGTTAAAACTAATCAACCAATAAAAGTTCAAAATGTTTTATATTTTTTATTAGCACACAAATAAATAGGTTTCATTGTGGCATTTTCATGTGTACTTTATGTTGGTCAATTCTCTAACAAATTGGT